AAATGGTGCTAATTTAGAGAGTTTAAACAGGCAGGAGAATAGAAGCTAGTTTGACTTGGCTAGAAGAGCTAACAGCTTCAAGTGTATTGCACTCTTTTGGCTCTTATTACCATGACGTGAGGTCAGGGCCACTCAACCACTCCATCGTCTACCAAATGGTGCTATTTAAGCTTAGTTCACTGTTGATGCTTAATGAGGTTCTTGGTTCTAAATGAACTTATTTGATCATTAATTTATTTAACTATTTTTATAATTCGTTTTAATTCATTCAATGCGGCACCTCCAACTCTTAAACTACATTTCTGTAGACGAACTCAGCTGTGTGACTAATTTATAATCTCCCAGATTAGAGCTAAATGTCATCAGCGTCATAGAGTCAATAAAACTAAGAGCATTAATCAGCAGGAATGAGACATGCTTAAAAGAAATTAATGACTAAAGTTAAGCAAGAATGATTATGAGGCAAAAGTAAGAATGGGAAAGGCTAAGGATTCGTGTGGCAAGGACTCATGTGGCTAATTATATTAGATAAACGAAAACTAATTGGCATTAACTAATGTGTATTGCCTGAGCTGATATGTAGCTACAGTTGGCTGTAGCTGTAGCTTGCCCTGGGTCAAGCCTTGTTGTTGCCGGCATTTCCTGTCAAGGTAGGCGTTGTTTGCCCATCAATGGGTTCCGCTCTGTTTCGCCCTTTTCGCAAGTCAATTTCCTTAAAAGTTGTAGATCATATGACCTGGGCTTGCTGTTGCTGACTTCTCAGTATCGTGAAATGGGGTGTGAGTTTTATCAATTCCAATTAAGAGCTACCCCATGTCAACAAGTAATGTAAATATGTTGTACACTCGAGAGTTAACAACTTGAACACATGACTCACATATGTGAGGTGACGCGCTGGGGTTTCTATCTAAAGCTCACTTTCAATTGGTTCGCTTTCAGACATTTGTCGTGCGTCACCGATTGGCGGAGAGGATGCCCCACTTTCGGACTACCAGGACGATGATTATGATTACGATGGCGAGGACGAGTCGACAAACTCAGAGGGGCCGCCCGCCGAAATTGTGGAAGAGGTGCAAAGCGAGCCGCCCTACTTTGAGCAATCAGATGTTAGCATCGAGGCCAGGCCAGGTGATGATGTGATCATCAATTGTGATGCACGCAACTTTGCAAGTACGTAGATCATTTCAACTGGCTTCCATATAACTCATTCGCCTCCGATTCACAGTTAAGAACATTGCGCTGTGGTACAAGAATGCCACACTCTTGGCCACCGGGCAGAGTGCGATCAACAATCGTGTGGAAGTCATGAAGAACAACTCGCTGCGCATTACGGGCGTGACGAAGGAGGATGCGGACGACTATTACTGCGAGGTGTTGCCGCAGAACGTGAGGCAGCATACAGCGCTACGTGTGGGCGCCAAGCTGTCGATCCTCTGCGACGATCGCGATGCAACGGATCGCTCGCAGACGTTCAAGCAAGGCGACCGACACAAGCTCACCTGCCAAACGTTCCTGCACACCAAGACAGACATCAAATGGTCCTTCAATGTATGATCGATGATTGCATCGAAACCATCCTCCAACTGTGCCTCATTCTAAACTCTCTCAATCCCTTCCCTATGCAGGGTCAGCGGCTGCACACATCGGAGAAAGACGCTGCCGAGGGCGTCGTAGTGCTGGACAATGTGGACGAGGAGAACGCTGGAGTGTATCAGTGCCTCGGCGACGATGGCAGCGCGGATCCACCACATGGCATGGTCACCATCGATGTCCAGTACAGCCCCAAGGTGTCCACCCATCGGCATCACGTCAACACTATTGAGGGCGACACTGCGGAGCTCTACTGTGACTATCGCGCCAGTCCCATTGCCATTAGCTTCTTCATCAAGGACGGCAAGACGCTGTCCCTGTCCGAGAAGTACTCGATCAAGAACTCGCTGCACAAGGAGCACAATCGCACCACGCTCATCATCAAGAATGTGGAGGCCAGCGATCTGGGCGAGTATCTGTGCCACGTTGAAAATGCCATTGGCTCCAATGAGGTGCGCATCCAGCTGAGCTATCACCCCGAGACGCCGCAGTTCGAGAACAGCTCCATCAATGGCAATGAGATCACAATGCACTGGCTGGTCCGCAGTCTCCAGCCTCTCTCCGAGGCCATGCTGGACTACAAGCTGTCAATGGTGGGTTTCACTTAGATGGAAAGTTCTTTAAAGCAATGCTGACTTATGAAACAACATTTCAATTTCGCAAAGTCTCATGGAGCATACGCATTTGGGTCTCATATGAAACTATGTGAAATTGACTTTCTATAACTAATTTGTCTAACAACTCTATGCATTCCACAAGAGCCTGAAGGAATTCCAGGAAATTTTAGCCTGAGCCAAAGACTCCTATTAATTACCTTCACTTGCAGTCGTATACGTGGAGCACGGTATCCATCATACACACACAGCGACACGACAAGGACAAGGGCATCTGGAAGATCACACATCAAATGGAACTGACGCCTGGTCTGTGGCATGCGCGCATCAAGACAAAGAATACCGAGGGCTGGTCCAACTTCTCGCCCGACCACGACATACTCATCAAGGATCAAGAGGGTAATCCAAATGCTCAGCCATAAATTTCAGTCATTAACTGATTCGTTCCGCAGAATCCACGGAAATCGACGACGGAGTTGTGCCACCGGATGACTTGGTGCGCGCGGGCTTTGGTGTTGGAGCTGGCTCCAAGAGCAACTCGGCGTGTACGATGCGAATGCTGCCCGCAGTGATGCTAGTCGGAGTTAGTATAGCTATGCTGCGACTCTAAGGAGACTACGATGCAGAGAACAGGGCCGTGGCGACTGTATATACGTGTTTCTCGTTACATGTTTTGCTTGTGCTGTGCCTTGAACCCGGCAACTGGCAGTAGCAGCTTACCCATAAGAAATGCCATTGCACGAAACCGAAAGAAAGAAAATACCCAAGTATTCTAATTATACATGCAAATGCTAATGCGCCTCAAAGGCCCCCACGCAAGGGGGCAATGTTAATGTTAATCTAAATTCAATCAAGCATAGGCATAATTCACTAAAAAACACTTGTGCCAACTACCATAAACAGCAACGATATGGACGATACGGAAGGGAGCTTAGTTTAATTAAAAGTTAAGATGGATTACTGCGACGATCGGTTGAAAACCGCCCAAAACTTAGCATATAATATTTATTTGTTTGTATGTACGGATAGTTAACACTGAAGATTTCTAGAATCCAGCAAATAGAAGGAGATTGAGAATCACATACACGCACACATGCCTGAACTAAGGCTTACGGGAATGTAAATAAAATGAGGGCAAGTGAGGACCGAGTGACGTGTGGGCCGATGATGATCATGGGAATAGGAAAAACTTTTTATTTAATCATAATTTTTCGAATATTGTGAACTTTTGAAATATTAAACGATAACTAGACCAAAGCTTAAATATACATGTGTACCTACCCACATACATACATATGGATAAAATGGATTGTTATATAAGGAAGCAAGGAAGCAGGAAGAAACCCGGATGATACTTATTTATAGTTAAGAGATGAGTACTTATGTAATAACTACGAATATCTATAATCAGGTGAGGAGGAGAAGTTAGTCGCTTATTCATTTGGGCTTCGATTGAAATTTGTTCGCTACAATACCTGAGAAATTGCCATGCAAAACGCCGACCATACAGTTCGATGATATATATATATATATATATTTATGTATATGTATATATATTCACATACAATCAAAAAGGAAAATGATATGAGAATATATATTTTGTATACTTATATTTTATTTAAGAAATCATAAGATTAGTATTGACAAGAAATCAAGAATAAATGTGCCAAGATTGTTGAAAGCAAAAAGTTCCATACAAAACTTTGCCAAGTGCAAAACTTTATTTCGAGAGCCGACCTGTTAAACAAACATGAGAACATATTTAAAAGCCAGTGTCTTAAACAAATATTGTAATGTTTTCTCCTTTAATTTAGTTAATGCGACGATTAAGAATATATATATACATACCGAAATAAATAAAGCAAAAAACTCTTCATTGCACTCTTATTGGATTAATCGGGTCCAAGATTTAAAAGAAATTTTTAAGTTAAAAATATTTTTAAGTGTGGGCAACTCAACTTCTGATTTACTTAGAAACAAGCCAAGAGTTCTTCAGTGAAATCAAAGAGTAATTTTGAAAAGTGTAACTCCAATAAGATTTGTATCTAACCTGAGAGTTAAGGTGTCAGCTGCCTACCTCCATTTGAACATTGCAGCTAACAGATATATTCAAAAGACATGCAAAAATTTATTATTAATAAAACTGTTCAGATTCGAAATCACTAGTAAAAATTCAGACAGAGTAATTTTAGTATAGACTAGTGACAAAATCCTTGTTAAGCAATTTTTATTTATAGTTAAATAACATAACATTTAAGCTCAATATGCTCAGCGACTGATCTTGAGCTGGTTCAATTCAGTTCCTTTGAATTCAGTCAATTCTTTATCTTGTAGTTCGCTACGGTCCAGAAGCTTTATTTTTGATATTAACGAATTTCGAGTTGAGTTGGCTTGAAACAAAGTAAGAATAATTTAATCATTTAATTTAGTGCATGTCAATGTTAAATAAATCGAAGAAATTAAAGACAAAGAATCTACACTAATTTCGAATATTTTAGAAATTAATCAAGAATTCTTAAGCCAATTCTTTTTTAAGACTTGAATTTTAAATTTCAATTTAACACATTAAAAAATATAATTTTTTAATAGTATTTCCATAGCTTTCCTTATTTGAGTAGCAATGAAAATAGTTTAAATTTCTGTATACTTTGGTTTTTAATAAATAAAATCGTTTGTCTTTACAGAGCAGCAAAATGCACGATTAACAATTACTTAAGCTTATTGGAGACAGAAGGAGAGAAGGGGACAGAAGACAGAAATACAATTTCAGCTTATCCTTGGACACTTTGCGTTTTGTTTTTTTTTTTGTTTATAAAGAAGCACTGCTTAATACTAAACCTAACTAATGTTTGAGCTGATGCGCCAGAGCCAGGCACGCGGACAGCAGCCACAGGAGCGCGAGCCGTTGCAAACTGTTCTGGCCGGACCGAGAGCTCTCCGGCGTGATGACGTCCAGCGAGTGATCGCCCAGCACGACCTTTGTGCTGACGAAGACATTCTGGGGCAGGATCTGGCAGCTGTACGTGCCAGCGCTTTGCGGACTAGCCTTCAATATGGTCAGGTCGAAGTTCTTCGGATTCAGACTAAAGTTGGGCAGCACCACGCTGCGGTCGCTCGTAATCATCTTGGAGTCCTGGAACCAGAGTATGACATTCGCTGAAAAGAATAATTCGATTAGCTGCGATGGCCCATCGATTCGCCTGGAAACCTACCCTCGGTAATGTTCTCATCACACTTCAGCACAACATCTTCGCCCAGTATGCCCGTCTTGGTCAGAGTCCGGTTGACTAGCGGCAGGTAGGCATTGGCAACACCCGTTGGCTTCGTCTGTGGACTGGGCGCACTCGGCTCGTCGGTATCGTAATCGTAGTCATCATTCAGCATTAAGTCGTGGACATCCGTCGTTGATGGGAAGCCTAGAAATTATTGAAATTTTAATTATTATTTGAAAAACTTTCATAAAAATCCCATTTGTCGCCATAAAAGAACTGAGCACTAAAGATTTGCTTTAATAGGCCACAGAACGCAGTCGACATCCCACACAAAAGCGTGGGTGGCTCAACCTTGAATTTCAAATCATTTTACGATCTGATTAGCTGAAGTTTTACGAGCGCATTTGAACTGCAGCGCATATTCAGAATAACAAAAATTATTACTATTTGGTAAAAACAATGGAGCGATAAAAACAACCATGAAATAGAAACAAAGAAAAACAATAACAAAAACAAAACTTGATTGTTTGCGTGCTGCTTGCAGCTGTAGATGGACTTGGCTCATTACGACCCACATTTCCTGCTAGCTAAACATTTGAGCACTTGAATCAAATTGAAATTCAAACCGGAAAGTTTTTGTTTTGCCAATGCATTATGGCCACTCATCAGGCGGTGTTGATGATGCTGTTTGTTTAAGCACTTATGCACATGTATGTGGATATAGATGAAGATAGGAAAAAGATGGGAGTATATACAAATACGGAAACGGATATGGAAAGGGATAGGAGTAAGAATGCGGATAGGGATAGGGATAGGAATAGAGATCAGAATAGAGACAGAGATCAGAATAGAGATAGGGATAGGGATAGGGATAAGGATAGGGATAGGGATAAGGATAAGGATAGGGATAGGGATAGGGATAGGGGTTGGCATAGAGATAGGTATAGGGATAGGGATAGGGATAGAGATAGAGATCAGAATAGAGATAGAGATCAGAATAGAGATAGGGATAGGAATAGGGATAAAGACAGAGGTATAGATATATGTCTAGATATATATAGACACATTTGTAGATACACTTTCAGCTAAAAATGTAGATGCGGGTGCAGATACAGTTGTAGATATATTCAGATACGGCTACAGATACATTTGCAGATAGATATATAGATATAGATGCAGACGCAGATACAGATATATTCAGATATAGATACAATATCAGATATAAGTTCAAACATAGATACGTTTACGCATATATTCAGATACATATGCATATACAGATACAGATACGTTTGCAGATACAAATGCAGATACATTTAAGAGATATAAATTCAGATGCATTTGCAGATATTCAGATATTCAGATACAGATACATATGAAGATAAAGATGCATATATAAATGGAACTGCAGAAAAAGATACAAATAAACATACAAGTTGAGATATAAATGCAAATTCAGATGCAGATGCATAAACAAATACATTTGCAGATATACTCAGCTACATAGACAGAAGCAGATATATAAATAGATACAGATACAGATACAGATATATATATATATGTATAATTATATATGTGCTGATGCAGATGCAGATGCAGATGCAAATGCAGGCAGAGATGAAGCTGCAATAAAGATACAGATACATTTACTCGCATACAGATACAGATGTAGGGATACAGATACACACGCACAATCAAACATATATTTGCAGATGCACACACACAGATACAGTTGGCAGATCCGAGCGCAGCTGCGCACGGTCGAGTTAAGCCAATTCGCATATTTTTGCACGCGTTTCACATTCCCAAATATTCATTGCTTCCTTTATAGCGTGCATAGCATATATATGCACATGCGTGACGCGTGTGTGTGTGTGTGTGTGTTTTGTCAAAGTGGAATGGAAAAACATTTCACGGAAATGGGGTCAAATGAAACTCGGGTGCACGGGCCATACGAAAACGCACAGGAAAATTAAAATAAGCGCATGGAAAGAGAAAACACTGCGCCAGCCGACACCAAAAACCCAACCCCAACCCCGACCCCAACCCCAACGCCGGGCCGTGTCGGTCGGCCGATCGCCGCACCCACATGTGTGCATACGCTTGTTGACGGCATGGCTTATGCGGACAGTAGCTGCTGCCACTGCCACTGTCACTGCTGCTGGCGTCGCTGCCGCTGCCGCAGTCAACTTCGCCGTCGGCGTCACTTTGTGCTACTTTGTTTTGGTGGTGTCGACAGTGGACACAAAATCGAATAACATTTCACAACAATGTCCATTTTCACTCTGGCAACTGCAGTGCATGGCCAGACACACACACTCACACACACACACACACACACACATGGACACATCACACCCTCGCTCCTCGAGGCAGACAAAGTGTCGGGAGTAAAATTGGAAGAGGGAAACATTTTGACGATTGTGAAAAAGTTTAAATTTACATTTGTATTTCGCTTCTGCCATTTCTCTCTGTGTGACTGGCTGCATTATGGTTGTTGCTTTTTCTTTTATTATTTTCTTTATTGTATTATTCTTTGCCACACACGCACGCACACACCCACACACTCGCACACACACTTTATTATAGCCAGTTTTGTCGCCGCCGCTGCTGCTCAGCGTTGCGTGTTGAAATTGTTAGTTGTCATATAGATCGGACACTGGCACAATAACAAACAACTGATAAAGTTGATACGCAAATGCACGACTAGTAGAATACCCTAGAAATTTATTGCAATTAACTTAAACTGCGACTAAACTCTTAACACTCTAAACAAAACTGCAGCAATAGGTATACATTTTACACATGCTGCAGGGTATACCCATTTATGCATGCTACAGGGTATTTACGTGCCGAGGGACTCTAGTTTTAGTAGCTTAATACGGATATGGCAATAGCCATGTGCCAGCATGTAGTTGACTGAACTCGCTTGAGTTTGGGCAGCAGCGCCCGCCCTCAATTTTAAAATAAATTGAAACTCTTTTTTTTTTGGATGTAATTTCCTTCATGATATAAAGCGAACAGACGCATTGACCCCATCGACTTCTCTTTGTCGTAAACTTGTGCCATTAACACAAGTAACAATAATAAGAAATTGTTGCCGCTTCCCAGAAACGGGCGCAACAACAATGGATGGTTGCAGTTGAAATATGTCGAAGACATAAGGCCTAGCCGCTGCTCAAGACATTTGCGCTTTGGTCAAGTGTGGAAACATGTGCCATTATTATTATAATGAAGCACGGATATTTTATTTATTTATGCAAAAAAGTTTATGCGAACTTAAGGCGGATATCTTTTGTTTAAGTAGAAGACAAAATAAAAATAAAATTCAAATTTATAATCGAAAAAATATTTGAAGATGAAGCACGAATTATTAAAAATATTTTGTTGGTATCAAACAAATTTTTAAACAAATGAGACATTTAAAAAAAGTATAAAAAATACAAAAAAAATAACATTTTAAATTAAAAATTATTTTTCAGAACAATTTTATATGTAGGAGATATTAGAAAAGAAAATTTTTTAGTTTTATATTATTCTATATTTAATTTTCCTTTAGTAAAATATTTAAAACTAGGCACAACATTTTTTAAAACATATGTAGAAATGTCTAAATTATAGTAAAAAAATGCCAAAAAAAAAAATTAAAATTTATTTTGCTAAAAAATTGATATTGATTAATTATATTATGTTAAATTTTTTTAAAAATTTTGAAAATTATTTTTAAAATCTATATGTAAAACAAATAATATGTATAAAATAATAGAAACATAGTTTTGTTGCAATTATGTTATCTTAAATTTATTTTTATTTTCAAATAAAAAAAAATAAACCTCTTTGAATGCTGCATATGGTACAGGAAATCTGTACCTTAGGGAATGAATATTATATTTTGCTGTTCATGCTTTCAATGCTTAAGATAACAATTGTGCGCTGATCTTGTTTTGCTGTTGTTTTGTTTCTATTTATGTTTTTTCCGGGCTTTAATTGGTACTCAGAATTAGGCCAAAAACCATTTATCATAGGCAGAATGATTCTTGAAAAATGTTGGGCTAATAACCCCTAGAGTTGACCCGAATGCCGCTGACCACTGGGTAGCCATGGCCATGGCCCTGGCGGGCAAAGTCTTTGCCTTCACTGGATTCTGCCAGTCACTGGAATCATCCAAGTGCAGCATTTTTACTACCTGATAAGCCGCGCGAGTGCCTCATTTGTGGCCGAGGCCTAAAAGCGCTCTGCAGCTCTGATCTTTGATCTCCTGCCTGTCTGGCTGGCTGTTTGTCTGTCTGTGACTGTTGTTGTTTCTGGTTTTCAAGCCGCCAGCCCCTACGTGACTGACCCTGCTGGTCCCATGTTCGGGTCCAGGTTGGCCAACTGACGAGTGCGTTATACGAGCCGAAAATTATGCTGTTTGTGTGGCGGTTGGATGGTGGCAGATAGAGACATGAAGCGAAGCGGATAATGATAATGGCATTCTGGTTCTTTGAAAGCGATCAGGTTACGGCCCGAGGGACCGACAGGCAGGCAGCCAGCCAGACAGCCAGCCAACCAGCTCTACCTACGCACTGCTGGGGCTCAGGTCGAGGCAGATGTGCAGCAAATTCACAGAACAAACACCCATTGACAAATAACCCACACAGATGCAGTCGCATTCGAAATTCGCATTCACAATTTGCAATTAGAGTTGAAAGGCCGCGTGTCCTGCGCCCAGTCAAGGGGATTGAATCGACAGATGTGTGCCGAGCGCATTTTCTGGCAATTACCGAAAGCTGTTCGACTCGAAAATGCAAATCAATGTACTTAGCCATCGACTCGAGCGTGTTGTCCCATAATCGATATGCAATTGAAGCCGATCAAGTGGGCAAAGCAATAGAAATGAAAGTACGATTCGAATCTGTGTGCACTTAGATTGCGGCCCAGCAACAGTTGCAGCCAAATATAGACGAAGTACATCGATTTCACTCACTGGGCCGCCCAGTTACATTGTGCGTGCCTCGCCAGAGTTATTAACAGCCAGCGCCAGGCAGCGCCTTTCAAAATTTCTGGCACACACGCTGCCAAGGGGGAACATGGACAGCGTTTCCCGTTGCCCAAAGTGCACGTGTTGGCACTTATGAGTCGCTGCGCCAAGTGCTTAGATGCGGGCACATAGCCAAAAAAAAAACGATGTCTATATATACATGAACGTATATATATGTATATATATATAAGTGTATACATCGTGTATACACTGAAATCCTATAGGTCAACAATAGACGCTCGCATGGACAGAAGCTAGCACAGTCCAAGTCCAGCTCCGAGTTGAAGACGTACGCCCAGCGCATACTAAAGCGCGCTTCTATCCAATTTGGGGGGCGCTGCCGGGCAGGGCTTGGCTTGGCCTAGGGCTCGTGTTCCATTCAAGTGGCTGCGGCTGCGGCTGCGACATGTAATTAATATGCGGCACTCCTTTTCCAGCACCGCCAACTATTTAGCGCAAAAGGCAACAGCAATTCTACTTCTTCTTCTTCTTTTTCTTTCATTTCATTGCGGCTCTTGTATTATTTATTGCCTCGCCTCGGCCATTCCCTTTCATGTGTGCTGGAACCCCCTAATGGCGCGATATCCCCACAGCCATCAATAAGCCTCGATATCGCATTCCAATACAGCTCAAATCATATTTTACTTCAGCTCAAAACTGATTTCTAAGCAACAACAACAAAACTTATTTTGCATGTCAAACGAAATTTTTGAAAAATTTAATTGAAAATTGAACAAAAAAAATTCAAAATAAAAATAAATTTTTGTGCAGCATTAGCTAATTGATTATTTATTGAAATTCTGATTGAATGTGGAATTCTGTTTCTATTTTTATAAATAAAATCAATTTAAAAAAAATATGCTTGATTGCATTAAAATTTGATGCATGAAGTTTGCAAAACAAAATTTTGTTATATATCGGATGGAAATTGGCTTCAACAATATGTGCAAAAATCTTTCAGTAAACCTATATATTAAAAAAAATTATGTAATAAATATACAATGTAAATATTATAATAAACAATTTCTAGCAAATTGCGACTTGAGTCAAAGCCATTTGAGCCACAAGCATAGCCTAAGCCAAGCCGTTGCTCAGCTAAGCCCATACTCTGTTGCATTTTGCTTAAATACGATATTTATTAATATTTATATATTTTAAAAAATTATAAAAATATTCTCGACAATACCACAAAAGTTGCTTATAAAATGCTGGTCTAAGGAACTTTGAACGATTCATAAATGTTTGTTGATTCAATTAAGGCGCATTAATGAAAATCGAAAGCTCAGCGAAGATCAATCAAAAATGGATTCTATTAGAATACAATGGAACACGAAGTAACTCTCTAAACAAAGTTAAACTCTTTTGCTGTGTAGCTGCTGTTGCAGCTGAATCATCATCATCAGCTTGAGCATCATCGTCATCATTGCGATCGAAACGATTAATTCTTATGTTTTAATGTGGCACAATTTATATAGCTATAAGGCTGAGAGAGTATATAAGAGCATGAGTGCTTATATACTAAGGAGCACTCATTGAATGTAGCATGCCACAAGCACACACATGCTCAAATAATAATAATACCCGCCTCAGACTGCTGTTGCCCCAGTTGAGTGCACACACAGCGACTCAAGCTGAACCCTGCCTCTATCTCAAACCGATCCGCACCCGCAGCCGCAGCAGCAGCCGCAGCAGCAGCGGGGGCATGCAACAGTGGCAGCATGAGCCGCCAATTCGCCAGCTCAGTTCAGTAAATTGATTCTTTAATTGTCGAGAATTGGTTACGAGTTTGTTTAACTCGCTTTGTCCCCGCCGCTACCCATGCCACAGTGCCCCCATCTGCGGCAGCGCATGAGCAATGCGAATGAATCGAGCGGCATACATAAAACTCGTATCTGCATTCGTATCTCTTGCATCTGTAGAGGAGCCATACAGACGTTGCCTGTATCTGGCGTGAGTCAGAGATTCCAAAATAAATATGTATGCAAATGGCAGAAGAATTATGCAAAAGACAAACCGAGCCCCTTGTCGTGACTGGCGGCAGGAGCACAGTCGACCCATTCTCAGATTCGCAGTCGTGAAACTCAATGCCCGAGAAAAAGAGCAAATAAGAAAGGTAGACAAGACACGGCCGGAGCAAACAGCGCCAGACTGATGAGCATTTAGCTCATTTACCCGTGTCAAGGTAGAGGAATTTGAGCCCAATATTAATGCGTCCATATCGATGGCCTTTTGGTAGGCAGCCTTAGAGGTTCCCGGCAACCCGGCACCCTCGGCAAGCCAATCAAACTGATAGCAATCGCATTGTTTATGGCCAAAGGGGTTAACAGAGCTTGCAGAGGAGTTAGTGCCGCCTAGGGGCTACAGCCAGTGGGTCATAGCATCTCTGCTCAGCAAATACACATTCTCACGCTGCTGCGACACGCTTCCCTAACCAAAATCGAAACAAGGAGCTGCGGTATATAGCATTGTATGCCCTACCCTGTTTACCTGGTTACTGTTGCTAACATCCTCATTCATTGTGCTTCCTGTTGTTGATTTTGCATTTGTTGTTGTTTTGTTGTCGCCTATTAGGCATCTATGGAATAATTAACAGCGTAACCGATATGCGAATGAATGGCACACACACACACACACACATACACCCCGTCGAGCAGATTGGCAAACTCACTTCCGATTGAATGAGTGCCTGCATACATATATCACATGATCGAGGGAGTGCTGGCTGATCGTGATAAATAACTGCATTAATGTGACAGCTTTCGCCTATAAATTATAGATTTTACAGTTTGCATTCAGCGCGCAAAAACAGGTAATATTTATCTATTCATTATGATTGAGCAATAGCTGAAAACTCGTTTCGCTTTCATCCAAATGTCAACATAAATGATTAAGTTTATTAGGAAATCTGTGAGGCATTCCCTAGAGTGAATCACTTTTTAGCCAAAAATTTAACAGACGCGCTCACAAGTTCTTTCCCAGAATTTGATCACCTCAAAAGTATGTGATCGAAATATATAAATAGAATTTTCTAATTCCCAGGATCTATATAAATCTCTACCAAGTAGCGACCTTTAATCCTCCGAGCTGAGTGTGAATCACAGCAAATAGTTGCCCTAAGAATTCGTCAATCTTTTAATACTGTTCAAAGTTCAGAGCATTTGACTTATAGAATACTTTTTATATAGGTCAAAAATTGTTCAATAAATTCCATAGACACACACACAACACACAATCATTTGTATTTATTTGAATCTGATGTCTGTCGAACGAGTCAGTTCAAAGGGTCTCTCCGCACAGAGATTAGATTGTGCTTGCAATTGCAACAGATTTCCGTTGCACTAAAACTTGGATTATATATACATATATATACATATATATATATAGTTTGCTTTACCAAAAACTTACCCAGGGCAGATCTGGCGATCAATAGCACTGCGAGCAGTAGAAGTTGATTCTTTCGGACTGTTCTCGACACCATTTTGTAGTCTCTGTTAACTGCTCGACACTCGAAAGTAATATGATAATAGTAATTGGGGAATATATTCTGGCAGCGTCGTCCAAAAAGTTCTGAAACTGTGTCACACGTCTTCGTCTGTGCTTGTTTATTATTCTTGTGATTTCCCACAAAATACCAAATTATTGCCGAGTAATTAATTATTGAAGTCGAATTCGTTGCGTTCAATGTCCCAGTTTTCAGCCTACATATTCAGCACTTTTCCACAAGAGAGCCCAATTATTTTGCTTTGTAATTTTTTTTATTTTCTTATTTATTTATGCTTTCTTGTTATTTTAGTATTTTGATTTCTAGCTTCGTTCACACTTCACGCCACAAACTTTCTGTTCACAATTAATCCAGGGGAACAATTCCAGTCGATAACGTTCCGATCCGCGTCTACGCACAAAAGTTGACTGCACGAACGCGTCTCTGTCGGATTGTCTGCGAGGCGCGAATTTATGAAATGAAATTTCCAATTCGTTCGGACGGTTTCGGCTTTATGCTGTCGGCTTTCTATGACAGATTTCGGCCTTCGGCTCACTGCACTGTTCGCCGCAAGAGCACTAAAACGAATGATGTTCGCCGCATAGTTGCTGGCCCAGCGTTGACGGCGGTTGCAGAGGCGGAGAGACAGCGACAGCAGTGACTGCCAGAGAGTATGGCTAAAGAGAGCCGCAACTGTGTATAAAGAGAAGAGAGAAGCGCGCGTTGCCTCCATTCCTTTGCTCTTAAAGCGTTTTACTACTTAATAAAATGGAATGACTTTGTAAAGGACACTAAAAATATATTTAATAGAAAATATATAATATTGTATACACAATATACATAAATATATTTATATATAAAATGAATAACTGTAAATGCACTTTTAAACCTCCTTATCGAAATGTAATGGGAATTTTTATATATAAAAATTCAAATTATTTCTATTTTTGGAAAATAGCATTGCGAATTTTGAATTTGTGAAGCTTATGATGATGTATAAAGCAGTTTTTAGATGAGATTTTTGCAGAAATATTTATAATTTCAAGTAGCTAGAGATCTAAACTTAGCTCTTACTTCAAGGCATAGAAAACCCGAATTTTAGTTTAAAATTTTTAAAAATTTTCAAAATCTTTTTAAAATGTTTTTATAATTCAAATTGGAAAATTGTTTTTAAAGTTTTTCCAAGTGTTCTCTGAACTAGTGAACCATGCGCATTATTTTTCTTGTAAGTTTTCTGGCATGTTTTCAATCAGAGCGTGTGATTGACGTGCTTTTTAATCCATAAATTATTCATTCGATGCGTCGTTAATCGTTTAGCTCATTAAAAATTATTTACCTACAGATGATTATTTTGCAAGCGAAGCAGGCAGTTGATTTGGCATATATTAGCTGCTGGTTTGTTCAATTGCGGAAATGCCAGGCAAAACACATAAAATAATCAGATTATATAAATCTATAATATATGGAAACGATTCATAATACAAAACTTGAGTCGATTTAATTTACAAGTGTTTCAAACTGAGTTTCCTGATTGGCAAATGACTTTACTGTTGAGAGCTTTTGTACTCTGAACTGAATTGGAAAATTGTACTTTTCCATACCCTTTCAGGAAGTGAAGTGAGTATACTAGCTTTAAGTAAGTTTTTATATAGACAAAAGGAACAAGGAGAATAGGAAAATATTAGAATTCCATCTTCCATCTTTCATCTTTCATCTTCCATCTTCTATCTTCTATCTTCTATCTTCTATCTTCTATCTTTCATCTTCCATCTTCAATCATCCTTCTTCGATCTTCCATCCTCCATCCTCCATCTTCCATCTTCCCCCTTCACTCTTCTATCTGCTTCTTCACATTAAGCTTCTCAGATTACATATGTGAAAGCAGCTACTGACATATTTATACAAATATGTTAACATATGCATGAATGCATGCATATACTATATGTGGGTTAGCTGAAAGGCAATCGGTTGGCAATTAATTTGGTATTCTGCTGGCAAAAAGGCATGGAGAAGGAAATGTAATTATATCATGTTTATCTTCTTAAGGCATTCCTGCGCTAAATACTTTCGTATTTATTGGGCATTGCAAATTTTCGTAGCGAGCAATTTTCTGGTGTTTTCCATTTAAATATGTTCTACATGCAGCTTCTGAGAAGAGGCGAGTAGCCAGCCGCAGTTGAGATACATTTCGCGTCGGCTGCTGCAGTCTGCAGTCTAAAGTTGCAGTTGCAGTTGCAGTTTGCTTAATGAAATTGCATCGTTCCCAGCAACGCTGTGTATGGGAAGCGCAACGATTGGCAAACGGCTGTGATTTACTCCAGCTCCAGCAGCACGCAGAGCGGAGGCTGACTGGGGGAGCAGCGCATACAGATGCAGATATGATGCTCGCTGGCAGACAGTGTCTGCAATGAGAGTTTAAGACACATGTAACATGCAATGCAACATTTGCTGATATCTTGTCGAGTTGAAGCGAGGCAAACAAACAATTAAAATTAATCTACGACCATAAAACAAAGTGCGTATTGTGCGAGAGTATCTCGCGGATGCATTATGCATCTCTATATCTCTGGGTGTGTGTGCGTGTGTGTGTGTGTGGACATTCATCTTGTTGTTTGTGTTGTCTTATGTTGGGGACTGTTGGGCTGCTTGGTTGCCAAGTTTTGTAAACATCCGCAAAATTTCCAGATTTGGGGGCAGCAGTCAGCAGTCAGCAGCATCTGAGATTTTTCTCCTCTTCAACTGCACATGTTCGCGCCTGCAGCTAAGCTAAGCAAAGCAAAGCAAAGCAATGCGAGGATATTAATCAAATATTTATATTTACACGTAGACAACGCACACATTGTTGTTGGTAGGCTGAGGCGGCAACAGCGGCAACAGCGGCGGCAGCGGCGGCGTCATTCACCAAATTTTCTCAGAATTTCTTTACAACTTTGAAAACAAATTAATCAAATAAACAACAGCGACAATTCACATATATGTATGGGTATCTTTTTATCTGTGTGTTGGTTAAAAGCTGTGCAATGTCTGCATTAAGCAACAGAAAAGATCTTTATAGTATCTAGCAGCCTCTTATCTCGGTCGCTGCGCAGACTCCGCAGCCGCCGGTTAAGAGAGCACAGCAAAGAGAGCGTTAGAAACTATTCTCAACACAGTTGGCAACGCGAGTCACACTCACACAGACACACGCACACGCATGTACAGTCGAACAAGCATGGTTAGTGTGTGGGAGTGTGTGTCGGGGGTTGTTTTGCTGGTGTTTGTGCAAAAGAGCAGTTCATGATGGATGAAACAGGACCCACAGTTTCAGCAAAAGCAACTGAAGTAATTGTTTGGAATTGGAAGTGTCAGCAAATGTGCGAAAGAATTTCAATCTTCTACTGAGCAATATACTCACTCCACACATGTAAACATGCACTGGGAAAAAAGGATACAAATAAAATCATGATAAATATATATTTTAAGAAAACAAAATAATAAGATTAAATTTAAGAAATAATAATAATAATAATCACAATAAAAAAAGATAATAAAAAATTAAAATAGTAATAAAATAAATAATAACTAAAAAATAAATTATCATAAAAAATAAAAGTAATAAAATAAATAAAAAATAAATATTTAAAAAAAAAATAGTTAATAATAATACAAAATATAATAACAATAAAAAATAAATAAAAAATTGAAATACATTTATACATAAGTATACTAAAATATTAAGCAAAACTAAAAAGAAAAGTTTTAAACACAAAATAAACAAGGAATACTAATATATAACATATAATAAAAAAAATGATATAAACGTTTTTTTTTTTTAATAAATTAGCTTGTGTCAAATCATAGAGTATATACATATATATTATATATACATATTATAAATACCTATATTTTTTGTTTTGAACTTTTGTGGTATTTTTTTAAAGTTAAAATCTTATTTATAGCATAATTAAAAGTCAATTCTTTAACATACATTCGAGCCTGAAGAACATGGCATTTCTATATATTTTTATATAATATATCAAATTTTCTTAATATACATTTAGCTTAACTTTCGAATCTTTCAAAATTTCGAACTTTCCATTCCCAAATGAGCTATAAATTACTCAACTTCAAGCCTTATGCCTTCTTCCTTTACAGTGTATTCTATATTGCACTGACCTAGGCATCGTAACGTTGCTGCACACACACACATACATACATAGGTATATGTTTACACATAGTGTATAGTGATGTGAACACCCTCGATAAGTCAACAGCTTTACGACATTTAGGCCATGGGCTGGCTGGCTGTTATTTTGTGAAGTTTCATTTTGTGGTCGCATTCGCGCATGGGCATGCGATGCATACCAAATGTGAAACTCCAGTGGGGAGACATGTCAATATACCTTGTATCCTCGCTGGGCTCCTACCCAATTTCCAATTGGGCAGCAAGTTCGCCAGAGCTGTGAGTCATCGCCCATCATCATTCGCGTTCGCATTCGCATTCGCATAGTTTTCGTTTTTATTTCCTTTTTTCTTATGCTGCAGTCGTCCTACACGATTCGTGGTGTGCTCTTCTTGTGCTCTGCGAGAAGCGACGCGAAGCGGCGCGACGCCACGAGTGAAGCGGCCAAACAACCAAAGCAACCCACGCAAAAGTTCAGTTTCTCAGTGTCGCTCAGTGTGAACGGGTTTCTCGGGTTCTCGTTATCGCAAATAAAAGCAAATAAAATTAAGAAAAAATCAGAAATATTTCGTATAGAAAAGTGATAAGGACATCTACATAATACTAGCTACAACAATATGAGGCGACAGACGCATCTCATGCTGCTGGCACTTACCATCGGATCTCTGTGGATGTCAGGTACAAGTCCTGCGGTTCAAACCCGCATCTGCTCAATGTATCGGCATTTCGGTATTTGCATTCAGTCCACTCACTTACGCACAAACAATTATTTATAGCACACTTGGCATTCATATCGACTCATATATACTTTTGCAATTTGTGGTAATCTATGGCATCTGCTTGTATGAAATTTGAAGATTTGTGATCCATTAGCTATGTCTCTGGCCAATCGAGAGATGCCAACAGCATTCAGGCTAAAGCATTCTAAGTTTATCAATCATACGTCATGTTGACAGATCGGCCAATTGAAGCATACTGTGTATATAAGCAATATTTTCATAGTTTTTCTTTTTACTGCATGGACTATTAAAAGAATAGATATTATGAGCATACAATACACATTCCAAGGTTGCCCAGCTCGAGTCATTGTTTCCATATGGCATTCACTCTGTCTGTAGACTATAATATTTTGCTGGCTAAACAGTCCTTCAAGTTGTATAAGCACATAGATTATAGCGTGATTAAGCAAAGTGCCTGCAGTTTAGCACAACTGGATGCATAACACAAAGTGCAAACTGTGAAAATGTGAAAATGCACGACGAGGCAACGCTCAAGAAATCGATGGATTAGTCCCAACCCAACCCAACCCATCCCGTCCCAAGTGCATTGCCCTCCCTGCCCCCAGGCAACTCGCTAACTAATATATTAGGCGAAATAATTTGCATACGCTGATTACTTTGCAACTATTTAACCTGCTTCGAACTCTTAGCATATGCTTTGAAATTTTAACAAGGATTTAACTAAACTAAACTAAACTTGATTTGATTAGCAATTATTATGCGCTTTCACAAGGCAGATTACATCTGATGAAGCTAGAGAATTGCTTTATGAATATACATCTGTGTATCATTTGGTGATGACACGCCCACTTGGAGCATAGCTAATCGGAGCTTATTATATATATACCAACTTGTACGTTTATCTTTAAGGCACTGTCAAAGCTAAGCTCCTCTATTTCACCTGCCATATAGCTCAATAAATATGGCATAATTATCAACTAAGACATTCTATCTTTTACAGTTTTAGATATAAAGTCAGCCAGTTGTCCAGCTGGATTAGTACTCAGCTGCTCTATAGTTAGACGTATTCATTTTTTGCACATTAAATTCTAATTTTAAAATATTTTATTAAATAAGTAAAACGAAAAAAAACAATAAAAATATGTTTTATTTCTAGATTTTTTGTCTCAATTTTAATTTCAATATTTTTTCTACAATTCTATTTTATTTTGAAAGCAGCCAATTACTATTTTATATTTGTTTCTAATATTTTTAGAATTCTTAAAATTTATTTACTATGAAACGAAGCTTAAGGCATACCAAATATTCCAAGAACATTTCGAGTTTAGTTTCAAATGCAAAGCTTGGAGAAAATCCATAAAATCCGAGCATATAAAAGATGAGCTTGCGAAATAGTTTCGAGTTTAAAGAATTTTAAGAGAAAGAGAATTGTTGAATAAGCAGAATTCTCTCTTTGCTTTTGAAGTTTTATTAGTTTTTGCAATACTTGGAAAATATATATATATTTATATATATATATATGCATATATATATACATATAGTTATATAGTTATTTTATTGTTGTCGCAATCATATAATAATAATAATTGAATAGTTCTGCGAGTTTACAAGCCCTAAGCTATTAGCATATTAATGAATAAAAACATCAACTCATTCATTTCAATTCACTTCTGGTTACATATTCACAATTACTTATGGGGAATCAATCCAAAGGGGAATATGACTTATCGACAACGTAGTCACGTCTAGGCACATATTTAGCATTAGAGAATTTCCTTGCAAGCCGAGCGAATCATCTATGAGAAACGCGTTTTGGCTGGCCAAACGATGACAAATTGATGAAATTCGGTGGGTGCGGATGGCACCACCGACTCGACTCGGTGGTGCTGATGAGCTGTACGCAGCTGTGTGGCTAACCACAAATGGACAAATTAGTGGTCAGCCATGGAATGGAAAAGGGGGCACTGAGCACATCGGATAAAAATATCAGCATGATTAAAGTGACTTTGAATAATAAAGCGCTTAAATGAATACGGGGAAACGAGTGCGCACCACTCATGAATGTGTGGACGAACATTGTTTAATTATTAATAATGTAATACAATTGACAGTTGCGCCTCTAATAGAGTTTCTAGATGTGGGCTAATGCTGCTGCATCTTTACATCTGTTCGTTGAACTTGATCCTTGCTATAACGGGATTATTGAGTGTGGGAACTAGTTCAATTTGCATGCAAGTTGCAAGCTCACCTTGGGTATGCCTGACTACAAAATATGCGGCACTCAGCAAAACTTGCCTAGGACAACGGAAGATGCACAAAAGATGAATTTTATTGAAATATCTCTTTAAAATGTCAAGTACTAAATATCTTTGTATAGTTTAGCTTTGTTTATATAGCAAATTGCATGACTTTTCTTCAAATATGCCAAATACCAAGCATCATGAAAATCAATATGAAATTGATGAAGGAAAACATCTTTCAAGTATTTAGCTCTTTTAAGTCTTGCATACAGAGACAAACAGCTAAGCAACAAGTACCAAATCGACTCAGCTGTTGATGCTGTTTCAAGGGTATCGACAGAGGAATGCCTTAGGTCAGCCACGCCTGTCTACAATCTAAGCACAATAACAATCTGAAAGCCCATTCAAAATGTTTGCTGTTGCAGTTCAAGCAATTGGGATTATTTTATGTCGTAAAGAATCTTATAGAATGGAAAAGTCGACTGGTCAAATCCAATTACTATAACTATTAGCAAATGCCACAAAATGTTTATATTAAATCATACAATGCCAACAATTGTGTAATTGTTGAGTTGATGTTGCTTATAGTTGGCATTTGGCTTTAAACAGGTTTGCAACTTGTTGAAATATTAATGGAATTCTGTGTTTATAACTGTTAAAGCTTATGTAGATATTTTAGCTGCTTAATTGCTGCAATTACTGAGTAGCATCTTAACTATTTAACTACTCACATAACTGCAGTTTCCCATAAATTGCTCGAACTACGCGCAAAGCTCTTGAGCTGACCCAATTTCGCTAAGCGTTCGTTCGATATGCTCGATAAACAGGATAAGCAAATCGGCGAAGAGACCCCTCAACGATGGACTAAAAGTGCAAATGACGCAAGCGATACGACCATATTGCCAGAGCCTTGACATAAATCAATATGCGGAGCATACCCGTGTCTCAAATCCCGAAAAATGTCTGACTGACAGACAATTCCCGCTGAAACATATAACGACCTCGAAGTGCTAACATGGCGTGGCGTGGCGTGGCACGGCTGGGCATGGCCTGGCTGGGCATGGCCTGGCTGGGCATGGCATGTGAGGAAAGAGACTCGGCAACTATGGGGACTATGTGCTCTGCTGTTCTAGCAGTCAGCCAAATGGGCGTTGACACGCCGAGCTGCGCCCTTTTCCTAATGGTTTTATGTTGTTGTCGTCGGGTTGGGTAGTTGAGTAGCTAGGAGCTAGGGAATCTAAGCTAGGGCCTAGTCAATTTGGCGGATAAGCTTGAAAATCTGAAAGAGTTTTTGGGGGCCGCTGTGTCGAGTGGTTTTCAATGCATAATTGGGCCTTAATTACGCAACGTCCAGGTGTGTTGACCTTGCCGCGCCCAGCCCAAGCACATTTACTAATCCATGTTTATGTATCTCTACTAATACGCAGCACACGGCGGCGAGACGAGCAGCGATTATGAGAACGACTACGACGAAGATGACCCAGCGCGCGCACCTGGCAACTTGGCCAAGTCCACAGCTGCGCCAGTGGTGCCCTACTTCAACCAGAAGACGGCGGTTGTCCATGTGGATGCGAATGCGAGCAATGTGAAGATCGACTGTCCGGTCAAGAACTATGACGGTAAGTTGCATGCCGCCTATCAAACACTCGTGTTCCATTCCATGCCATTCCGTTCCATTTCAGCCAAACACCATGTTATTCTCTGGTATCGCGACGAGACGCTGGTCATGAACGGCGTCCAGCCGGTGATCGACATCTATAAGCTGGACAGCCAATTCGTGCTCGATGTGCCGTTGGCCAATGCAACGGGTCACATCTTCCACTGCGAGGTGCAGCCCTCGGGTGTGCGGCGCGCCATCACCGTTAAGCTGGGACCAACGCCAGCCAGCCCACAGCCAAACTCGACGCCGGCTAGCGCCAGCGCGGCGCCAGCCCTCAGCTGGTCCACAGCCGTGAAGTGCCTCCTCCTCAGCGCACTTATCCTTGCACAGTTTTAAGGAAACAGCGTCACTCCAATGTGGAACACATTTACCTAATGAATGCACCACCGGCACCAGGACTTACTGAACAGCGCACAATCAAGGACGAGCTTGCATCCAAATAGTTAAACCCGAGCTGATTTCGCATTAGCAAATGCCTTGGTTCCATTCCCCCATCAAGTGGACGTTCAATGGATTGCTTCTATAATTAGGTGTTGCTTTATTACTGTAGTATAGCCATAAGAGATAATATATAGTCTGTATATAGGCCTATATACACGTGTTGAACTAAACTGCTTTATTGTATGTGAATGTGTCTGAAAATGCTTGACAAACATAGGAATTTACAGTTAACTTTGTTAGTATTGATCAAATTTAGTTGCCTTGGTTAAGAGTTTGTTGTTTCAGCATCAAAGATCTATGAACTCGTTTACTTGAAATACTTTTAAGAAACTAGCTTAAAACATAAGATTCCAGCAGAAAAACTAAGTTAATAATTCCAATAGCTTTTTCTATAGTTTTGTTGAAACAAATGCATAAAATGTAAAATTTCCAAGTGTCTTAAGCTGAAGCAAAATACGAAAATAAAAATAAAAATAAAAAATATTTTGAAAACTAAATTGGAGCTGTGCAGGGCAATCAATGCAGAAGCCGTTAAAAAAGGAATGAAACTTCAATTTCAGCCTTTCATAATGAGAGTTTCGTGAAAGAAAACCCACCCTTAGAGGGAACAGACAGGACACAGAGTTCCATAGAGCGCAGCGAAAACTGCATAGTGGAGCGAATAGGGGCGACTCAAGAACTAAACACCCGCCGCGTCAGATAGAGACAGACTTTGTTTCTCTCACTCTCTCTCTCTGTGGCACAAGCAGCTGCAGTTTGTGGGTAGGAATTCCGCAATGTGCGCAGGACATGCAGGCCATATGGCCAGGCAGGCAGGCAGCCAGGGTGGTGGAACCGAAAAACACACACAAAGCGACACAAGCCAAGCGCGGCTCAAGAAACATGTTTTAGCTTCCTGCGAAGTGGCGGCAGTCGACGCCTGCACGGCGACCAGGACACAACTAGTCAGCGCTATAAATCTGTGCGGCAGCACATCAGAGAGACAGCGAGAGCCACGACAGATTAGGCCAAAAGCACTTGCCTCACTCACTGCAAATGATTCCCAGCGCTGAAAGCATTGACTCAGCCCAGGCTGGCTTTGAGTCCCCCATCAACATGGGCGTCTGGTGCGAGGAGAGCCGCTGCAATCAGCTGCAAACAGCTGCGGATGTCTATCGTCGCACTGTGGAGCGCATCCAAAGGGAAACTACTGACTGCCAGGACAACAGCAGTGCTGCAAAGGCATACGAAGAGATATTGAAGCAAATCTGGATTGCAACCTTTACGGGTGGCAATATATACTATCGGGCGTAGCATGAGTTTAAGTCTTGGAGAATTGCTGTATATATCTAGATATTAGTTAAACAATTTATAAGCGTTATAGATTTAAGTTGACCTGAAACCAAATAAAATGTTATTTTTAAAGAAACGTTCATTCTTTCTAATATATTCAATCATCATTTTTAAGAGAGTTCTGAAAGAGGATTTATAAATTTTAAATAAATAAAATTATCCCAGGACGATTTTCCCACAAGATCATAGAATATTCATTACTCAAATAATCAACTAGAAATCAAATCATGTTGAGAAGGGTTTCAAATAATGTCAACACTCCCTTGTTCTTTGGTTAAACATATTCCATTATTTATAATAAAAGATTTCCTTTTGTCTAAAATCTGCAGCTGAGCTACAATCATAACAGCGTAAAGAATCGAAGAAAGAATATTTTTCTAGGGGTTGTATATTGCACATGGTAATGTATGATATTATAATGAAATTTCATTATTATGCTCTGAAGATTTGATTAAGAAACTCCATCTAGAAGAAAAGTTAGTCAACTATTGAGTTCACATAGTAAAGCCCAGGCGAAGCCGCTGCGTTAACTGCGCAGTCAGCGCAGCGCGTACTTAAGTGTTAGTGTAAATGTGCATGTGTGTGTGCGTGAGTTGCTTGCTATAAGAGCTTAACGTGACGGCATTGGAGAACAGCAGCTCTGCACAGTCAGGCACTAATATTGATAACTTGCATTATTGCTGGAACTACTGTTATCGTGATATAGTCACTGCTATTCGAAATTTCAAATTCACTTTCTTATTTTCATGATATACGTACGTAACTACTCCAGAAGAAGTAATAAAGAATTATGCTTCAACTTATCAAAATGTCATACTCTCTCAAATGTATTCTCCTAATTTTGTTAGACTAACTTATACAAACCTTTACAATTCAGAAATATTTATAAATTAAAATTAAAGTACGCACAACTTTATCTTTTTTCAAATTTTATTTATTAAAGTTTCCAAATCAATTTAAAAAATGTATATATATTTGGTTTTGTTTGTGTACATACCTTAGGCAAACTTTGCTGAAATGCCAAAGAGATTTATGCGCTAGAAACATAATGATATCTGATTTCGGATCATGGCAGGATCATCTTAAGAAATGATCGCTGTTCGCTGCAAAACTAAGTTGTGGTTCATAATTTACATTAAATGTGAATTTTTTTTATTATTGTGCTGAGCATATTTATTTGTTTATTGAAATTTTTAAAAATTTATAAATTTTTATATAGTCTCATTTGATCTTATTGTAATATGCGCATATTTTGTTATAAACTTTAACTTTTTATTGATTTTTAAATATATATATATATATTGATCCAAATTTATTTGTTTATAAACAATGTGATTCCGATGTGAAAGGGAATCTTTTTATTCAATTTATGAATTCTATTGCTAGGGCGTTATTTAAGTATCTATTATAATTAAATTTTATTATTAGCTGCTTTTAGTTAGTTAAAATTGATCATTTCTTTTATTCTTTATTCTTTACTCCAGACTAATTTAAAATATAATTTTGAAAACATAAAAAACTCGGGTTGTTCACAACCTTAAAGGTGCCGATTTATATGAATACTTATAAGGAGGAGCGTGAATTAAAAACGTTTAAATATTATAATTAATGCATTATTTTTCATATTTATTTGGCATTGGGCATTCTCAAATGTGTTTTCTCCACCCAAGGCCTAAACAAATTGAAACGTTTTCTTGATTTTCTTTTTCATCGTTTTGTTTGAAATGAGGAGATTTTTTATTATTACTATTACATCGTCTTTGCTTGTGGTGCAATTATATTAAAGTATTTGTATATTTGTATGTTCAACTTATATTTTCTTACGAGCATTGGCTTTGCTTTCTTTTATTTATACTTTTTCAGAATGGTGTACGTATTCGGTTTATAAGACTTGATGGGTGGTTCGCGCATACGTTTCATGTCAGTTTGGTATGGCTGAGGCCGTTTATATGCAGCTGCGTTTGTTGGTATTATTGATGGGCGTGCTATAAAACGTTATGCATTTTAAATATGTTATATATTTATGTAAACTGAGTAGGTATATAGTTATGAATAGAAATAGTTTATTATATAAGAATTAGTCATCGCTCAACTGCATTTTAATATTTAAGTATTTGCATATAAAATGCAATCAATTTGATTTATTTCGATCTACTCGTATCGACCCGCCCAAAAAGAAGAGCCCCATAGTGTTAAATTGTTGTTTAAAGTTGGGATTTCTAAGATACTAGCTACGAATCGTTGGCTTAACTTACGTTTGCTATATTCATATCCAGATGGTGCACCACGCTTGGCCATTCGATGATCATACTCGTAGGCCACCTCTTCAGCCTCTTCGGCTCTAGAAAATGATAATCATTATTATAAAAGTAGACAACGTGTAAAGCTCAAATATTTTCAGTTATCAGGTATACGCTGCCTCGTCAAGATTGTTATCCTTTGATTATTTGATGCTTACAGAGAATTTATTTAAAATTATACTTTACAAGTAACTTACTCGGGCGGATTTTCCGCTGCTCTCTTGATAAGATTTAAGTATTTCGGTGCGCCGCTGCTGCCACCAAACTTCTTGTCAAAAACAGATCTACAATTTGCAATGAAGACATTTTATAATTCATAGAGATATCTTCAATATTGTTGCGTACCTGTATGCTTCTAAATTTGGTCCATGTATATTCTTGGCAGACTCTGGATCCATTTCCATTAGCTCGCGCAACTGTTCGTGGGAGACTTCGTCGTTTTTGTCTGGAATTAGATACTTACGGATCTCGGCCAACGCATAGGCAATACGAGCATAGCACTCAGCTGGCGTAGCCACAGTGCTCACTTCGAGAAACAGATCCTTCTGCAGATGAGCATAGCGCGGATCACCAGAATTGCGCAGCTGTTCCTCCTTACCACGGTCGCGTATCGAGCTGCGTCCTTTGATCGCAATCTTGCATTGCGTTTCGTCTTGTAGACGACGCAGAGAATTGCCTTTAGGTCCCAGAATTTTACCAGTGAAATTGAACTACAAGCATTAAGTGAATATAAAATGAGCCGTTTCTTGATTTTTTTCCCCTTCAATTACCTTTGGATATTGCTTGACGGGCACGAAAACCTTTTGTGTGATTTTCATTGGCTTCTGTTTGTAAACATCGGCATAAAACTCGCGTCCAGGAATACGGCCAGTGCAATACACACGATCCACAGCTGAAATCCAATAGATATATATAAATATGGTACAGGAGTTGCTGCTTTTTTCTTTTGTACAATTAATTACCTTCATCAATTAGCAAAGCGCATAATGGGAACTCGGCGGACAAACGCTGGCGTTCTTCATCTAAATCAGCCAAGAATTTTTGAGCTACCTCGTTCAGACGCGGCTGGTGCTCATGTGGAGCTGGCTTTTCATTGAATTCACTGCTAGAACTATCCATTTTATATTTTCAATTAAATTCACGTGAAAATTGTGTATAATAGTTTATACGCTTCACTTCTTCCTCTTCGATTAAATTTGTAAAGATTTCGATGACAGATACTAAACACGATACTATAATGGGACTATGACACCGATACCTACGATTGTATATCGATAGTTTTTTTTGGCGGCGACTCTGTTGCACAAAGTGAGCAGCATTTACAATTAAATCTAGAAAATTAAACTTGTTAGCAATGGCAAGTGAAGATTTGTTTCGGAATGAATACTCCGAGGAGCCCGACCTGGGACAGGACATTCGAAAAGATGAAGAAATGAATATAGAAACTGCTGAACACGACACTAATGATGTTGAGCAGGCGACTGGGCAAAACAGCACAAACAGCTCCCCAAATGTGGATCTGCCGGCTGCCACAAGTCCGGCGCAGACAAAACCAAGTAAGCCTACTGATGCTACAATTATATTTACAAAATAATTTTAAAATTTTTCTTATTTTAAGATGCTGTAACCAATGGCAATAAGCCCTCAGAGCATGAACACGATGCTAAACTTACGCAGTTGCCGATGGCTCGCATTCGGAACATCATGAAACTGGATCCAGATCTTCAAATTGCATCAAATGAAGCCGTCTTTGCAGTAACAAAAGCCGTTGAGTTATTTATCGAATCTCTAGCGCGTGAGGCCTACACCTACACAGCGCAAGCCAAGAAGAAGACGATACAAAAGAGAGACGTAGATCTCGCCATATCCGCTGTGGATAGTCTTATGTTCTTGGATGGTGCATTGAATTTTTGAAGGACCCCTAACAAAGATAGTCCATTGTGATATACTTATTTTAAACTCTGTATTACGTTACGCTGCTTGTTCTCCTTGAATATCTAAAGGAAAACGCTATTTGGTTGGTTCTATTATAATTTTGTATTTATTTGGGAAAGTGTTCGACGAACACAGAGAAATAGATTAAAAATATTAAATTTTATTCATGCTATGTTTTCAATGCGCACATCGTTAATAATTATAAATAATAATCAAGAATATTAGACAATTATGTTTGATTCTCTCTTTAATTTTTAACGCATTTTGTATATAACGTGGAAAGCTCTGAATTTGAACGTAACCGGGCAAATTTGTATATTATATTCTTTGCATTTTTTGTTTGTTTTCTTGTTTATTGAAGCCGTTGCATACTTACTTTGTCGTTGGGCGTTTCTTTTATTTTTATTTTATTTTATTAACTTTTATTGTTTATCTCTTCATAAACTTATTTGAAAAATTATTTCAAAACTTACGCTAACATTTTTTTTTAGAATAATTAGGGATTTTTTAATTACGGTTGCATATGGGTGTGTGTATAATGTTGTTGTTTTTTGTTCTTTTTCTTCTCTTATAGTTTAGCTGATTTTGTGAATTGTATTTTACGATTTTTACAATATATTTTCAAGTTTGATATAGCTGTGTTTACTTTCTTCTTTTTTTTTTGTTGCATTATTAATATTTGTTTTGTTTTTTTCTTTTTTGTTTGGTTTAACACAAAGGAAATATTTGAAACAACAATTACTATAAAATAGGTTTTGCATTTGAATTTTGTTTGGTTTTTTATTTATAAATAGTGTATGAATAGATTTGATGTATTATTGGTTGGATTATTGGACTTTAAATATTTTGGTATTTTTTGTTGTTGGTTGTATTTTTTTTGCTTGGGATTTTTCGCTTTGCCGCTCTCATTGCTGCATACAAACTACTTAACTTTGTTGATTGGTTGATTTGTTGGTTGGTTGGTTGGTTGATTTATTGTGAGATAAATTAGCGCATTTTTGGATATGGAGCCGAGCGATAACGCACGCTTTCACGAGAACGTGATCCAGTTTCATAGTGAGCCGATGAATGTGATCCCGAGTTCGATGTCGTGGGTCTATATGACGATGAGGAACGACCGTTGCTTGGTTTTGCTATTTTGGAAAGAATTTTATTTGTTGTTTAGATTTCAATTGTTTTTGTCTCTGTGCTCAGTTTTTGTTTGTTTTTTTTTGTTTTCTTTACTGCATTAAATTTTTTAGTTTAATTTTTTTTTTATTTTTAATTGGTCTTAAGATAGATAACAAACAAAAAAAAATAAAGGTGTTTAACCGGTTTTGAATGCACTAGCCCCAGTAAGTTAAAACATATTATTCTTGTTTTATTTTGATATTTTTCTTTTTGCTTTACTTTATCACAGATAAATATTGAATTAATTGAATGTATGAGAATTGAATTGAATTGCTTTAAATGTTTTGTGTTTGAAATGCTTTTGTACGAATTGCTGTTAGTAGAGAGTAGTTTGTCTTGAGCTTCTTTCTGATTTTCGTTTGTCATAATTGTGAGATTTGAGAGTTATATTCGATCGGTCGCCTGTCAGGCGTAGTGCATTTAAAATCTTGTTAAATATATAGACATATATATGTGGATGTAACTTCCGTTTTTTTTTCATAATTTCGATTCGCGTTTTTTACTTTGATATATTTTGGTATTTTAATTTGCTTCTCTTGGTATTTTTTGCGCGCGATTTGTATTTTTTATATGTTATTCGATTGTAAACAGTCCAGCTGCGGAAAAGACATTAATTATCTATTTACGGTTGTTCTTACCTGTGTAGGCCGCCGCGTAGGATGAGGAAGACGAGTGCGGATGATACTCACGTCGGTAGTCGCGCTCATACGAGCTACTATCTGCATATTGGGCATGATGACTCGAGTGCTTCGACGACTGGGGCGGAGGCGGCGTCGCATATCGATCATATTCCCCATGGTGATCGTATAGCTCGTGATCCCGTGATCTATGTAAATGAATATCGAATGATTTTGATACAAATTAATATTAAATATTCTCAGTTAGGTTCACCTAGTCACCTACCTATGAGCCTTAACGATGCCGTAATTGGGATCGTCCATTACATAGCGGGCCTTTTCGAGAATTGAATACACCTTCGGCTTAGATGTGGCTGGCGGTGGTGTGCTTTAATGAAATAAAAATGATTCAATGCACTTTTTTGTGAGCAATTCAAGACAAATAACTAACTGCTAACTCTGAGATTCCTTAAATATTGGCAAATAATTGAAAAGCCGTAAAGGATTGAAGTCTATCTGAAAAGTATGTTACCGGAAACAACTAAAAATCGAGATTGACTAGTAAGTTAAACTTTGTAACAGTTTCTAATAACTTTCGTATACATATACATTGAAAAACTATCTATCTGCAATCTTAGATGAATCATTTTGAATTTGAATATACTTCTCAAACTGTGCAGTGCATTGTGTGGGTTGATTGAACTTACCGGGTGCTATAGGCGCCATGTTCACCATAGGACTTGGAATAGTGATGAGATTTCTTATACATGCGCTCCTTGCCATCCATTTCTCGTAGCTGTTCGAGGCGAATATCATCGTTGGCGTCAGGTATCATGAACTTCCGTATTTCGCACAGGGCATACCCCAGGCGATGATATGCCTCGGCTGGAGGCGCTACTGTCGATATCTCTACGTGCAAGTCTCTGCTCAGATGGGCATACTTTGGATTGCCAGAGCTGCGCAGCTCCTCCTCCTTGCCATGATCGCGCATCGAATTACGTCCCATGACGACCATCTTGCACATCGTCTCTTCCTGAAGCTGGCGCAATGTGTTGCCCTTCGGTCCCAGTATCTTCCCCACGAAGTTAAATTTAGGATACTCTTTGATTGGAAACAGGACTTTTTGGGCAACCCTAATCGGTTTTTCGCTATACACATTTGCGTATATCTCTGGCTTTGGAATGCGACCGCTGACCAAGATCTTTTCTACCTCTGTAAATAATCGAAGCGATTACGTCGTGCGCTCAAAATGTCTTACGTGTACTATACGCACCATCGTCCAGTAGACGCTTTGTAATAATATTTTTCTTCTCGAGTGTCTTTTTTTCCATTAGGCACTCTTGCAGGTACGCATTTGTCTTCTCATTCAGCTGTGGCGTGTCATGCAAAGGGGCGTGGCTAGTTGTGTGACCATGGCTGCCATCCACCTCGGGAGCGTCTGCAGCGCTGCCGGCGCCGGCTGTCTCATCATCACGTCGCTTCCGCTTGTAATCAGCGGCGGTGTCCTCATTATAGTCTCTGTCGTAGTCGCGCGGCATTTTGTTTGAATAAAAGCACTTTAAATATATATATCTTGGTCTCCAATTACAGCTTTGTGAAAACTAATTTAACCAAAGCTAAATTCAATGTTCAATTGCAAAATTGATGTGCCTGAAAAAATTTTCTTTTATGTATGGGGTAATCAGTGTTGCCGTATTACTTGTTATTTTAAAGGATTTGGTATTTTTCTCGTCTTATATTAATTGAAAACAGTAGTTTTGTAAATACACTATTTATGTTTTTATGTGTTTATCAACGTAAAATGTATATTAAACGAATTGCATGATTTATTGAGATGCATTTTTGCAGGCTAGATCGAAATGACGTTATTATTTAACTAATAACAGTCAAATGAGTGAAGAATTATCTATAGATTTCAATAGAATGTAAATTTTTAGTGCTCAAGGTCTTAAGCCAAATATTTTTGAATAATACATCGTGTTTCAATTCAATGTTTACTCCAGCTCCATAAATAAAAATGAAGAATTCCGAGGAGCTAACGAACTAATTGTTTTTATTGACGTGCAATGGTAACACTGCGCAATGACAAGCAATCGCTATTCATTACCCTATATCGATACTATCGAATTGATAGAAAGAATGCTAGTGCTGGTCAAATTGACACTTGGGCTTGTCAGGGCTGGACAGTGTGGGATGGAAAGCGCGTTTTTTTTCTATATTCGCTAAATGTGTACACACTTTGATGGAAAAAGAGAGAAAAAATTAGGGCCACAAAGAGGTTGCAAACATATTTGATAAATTCAAATTAAATCGACTGCTCGGCGACGGGGCCATTAACATAAAACGCGCCACGCATTGTGCCGATTAGTTTTGGTAATATTCGCCACATCAATTGACTACGGGCGTCGTTACGGAAAGCAGGACAAATGGCGGAAAACGGAATGCGTGTCGGCCCAGGGTCATCGGCGGCAGCAGCGGCGGCTGCCAATGCAAATGCTGGCACCAGCAATGGTGAGCACGAGAATGAACACAATGCTGTGGATAGCGAGAAGGTGCAGCCGGCGCGTCTGAATGAATCGGCCCAAAAATATATGCAAGAACTGATGAGCGAGCGGTCGCGCATGGAGAGCCAATTTCCATTGGCATTAAAACTAATTGACGAAGGTAATGAAATAAGTTCACCCATTTACCTTATGTACACACTGATTGGTAAATACTAATGCATACATACATATGCATCTACACACACATATATGTATATGAATATATATATATATATATTTATATATCTGTGTATGTATGTTTATGTATATAAAACGATCTTGCAGCTTTGGAGAGGGTGCAGTTGAATGGCCGCATTCCGACGAGAGACCAGTACGCCGATGTGTATCAGCAGCGGACGATTAAATTGTCGCAGAAGGTGCACGTGCCGATTAAGGATAAGAAATTCAACTATGTTGGCAAGCTGCTGGGCCCCAAGGGCAACTCACTGCGCCGGCTGCAGGAGGAGACGCAATGTAAAATCGTTATATTGGGCCGATTCTCAATGAAGGATCGCGCACGTGAGGAAGAGCTACGCAATTCTGCGGATGCTAAATATGCCCACCTTAATCTTCCGCTCCATGTCGAGGTGTCCACCATAGCGCCACCAGCTGAGGCGTACGCTCGCGTTGCATATGCGCTGGCCGAGATCAGGCGGTATCTTATACCTGATAAGCATGACGATATTCGTCAGGAGCAGTACCGAGAGCTGATGGAAGACCCGGAAGCTGCCAAAAAGTTGACCCTGCGCCAGTTGCAACAGCAGCAACAGCAACAACAACAACAACAGCAGCAGCAACAACAGCAATCAGCTTCTGCTGGTGGCAACGGCAATGGTAACAATCGCTCGGGTGGCAGCTACAGGTGAATTGCAATTAACAATAGAAAACCTCTTCCAAATGTTTCGCCACTTACAGCCATGGCTTGTTAAATTTCAGACAAAAGTATCAGCAGCAACCGCACTATCATCACAACGACGAGACTGTCTACTATCGTTCACACAACAATGCCTACCACCAGCCAAAGCCCTATGTGCCAGGTGAGTGTCATCCAGTTAATCAGTTGTGTTCGCCTCGTTGATTGTCCCTTCTTTTAGCTGCCCAGCGGGGCAATGCAATGCATACAACCTTGCCGCCGCAGGCCATCGTACGCGAATCACCTTGCATGGTGGTTAGCTCGGCCAGTTTCAATGGACGCAACGCTGGCATGGGCAATGCCGGCGGTGGAATAATGGCTAACACCATTGTGACTGCCACAGGCGGTGGAATTGGGGGCACTGTGCCGCCTATAAGGCATTACCGTCCCGCCGCTCCCTATCAATTTGTTAAGAAATAATACAGAAGCAATGCGCCACCTGCCGCTCGCTGTTTGTTCACCATTTTGTCATCATGTTCATCATGTCATCCAAATGCATGCCCCGCCTAGCAACGTGCATAAATGTATGTAAGTGATGCATGTGCATGCGCCGCTGCCATTTGATGATTGGGCTTTGGTCGTCTGAGGCCTGAGCCGGATCATAACACACACTGCTCCAAAGGTAGATGTAATAATTATAGATACACACAGACACACACCCACACATACATACATACATACATATAATTTTCACACATTGAGTTTAACAAGATTTCGAGAGTGGAAAACCTAACCAAAACCAAACAAAACGAAATGAAATGAAATGAGTAAAATGTACGTTTAAGAAATTAGCCTAAGTAGACGAATGCTCCAAATGAACACACACATACATACATAACAGACACACGCACACACAAACACACACTGACGAACGTTAATTGGGCTTTCGATTGATTGGAGAAGGGGGGAACTCGTTAGATGCCATTTTCTAAGCTTTCCGTTTTTTTTTTTTATTGGAATTTTAAACTGTGTGAAACTGTTTTCTGGACGGACCCCAAGGTGTCTTGATTTTTATTTTGTTTTGTTTAACTTTGTATTCTCATTATTATTGACGCATTTGCTCGTTTAACATCATTTCATATTTATATATCTCTTTATATATATATTGTCTATATATATATATATATATTTATATATATTTATACAATTCGTACGAATTAAAAACTTTATTTAACTATTTCAGCAAATGCTACCTTAATGCATTTTACAACGATTAGGAGGCTTTTTATTTGTAAAATTTGAATTCGGAAAACTTGTCGAAAATATCAGAAAAATAATTTTTATTTTTATTTTTTTACGTTGTTTTTACGTACACAGAAATACATAAATACATAATACCCACATATAATCAAGCATACAATACATATAAACGTATAAAGAAAAACCAAAAAAAAAAACAAAAAAAAAATAAGAATCAACAATTAATAATGCAAACATGAATCTAAACATAAATCGACCAAAGCGCGATTATGATAAAAATAATTACATAGCTTAGCATTAACACGTCAGAAAAAGAAGTGAATAAAAAGAAAACATTTAATGATAACATGAAATGCATCCAAACCCACACACACACACACACTTATACACACACATAATTGTTATTGTTGTTAAAAGCAACTCAAATTGTAATAGAATTATGCAAATATACATACAAATAATATGGTGACAATGTTAAATTGCAGCTTAGTTATTATTTGTGATTCGAGAAACATTTCAACTTTCTTGATTCCGCACGCCAAAAAATGAAAAGAAAAGAAAAGAAAAACAAAAATAAATCTTAAGATATCTATGAACATATGCATAATACAGTATGTTAGTTTAATTGGTTCTTCAATTTATTGTTTATGCATTTCTTGACAAAGCCAAAAAACAATAGAAATCAAGACGAAATCAATCTATCTACTGTTATGCATGTGCAGCAGGTGTGTAGAAGGGGAGCTTATGAAGCGACAAAACATGTTTTCTATTCACACACACAAACACACACGGACACACATACACACACACATTATACTTATTTTACAGTGCATTATTATATATTGCTGATTATCGTTAAATAAATTCACAATTTGAATTGAATATGTTGAATAAACTTGAATCCAAAAATATTATTTTACTTTTTTACAAAAGAGAAAAAGTTGCAATTCAAAAGAAATATGAACAATATGTAGAACACAATAATCATCTATAGATGTAGGATTAGTATGTATTCCTATATAATAATTGTGCCTTGCTATAGAACTATGTGTCTATATAAACCTCTAGCACCTCAACATACATCAACAGTTGAAATCCTTGAAATTTTTACAGTTCATGATTTACATTTCTGTCTTCAACATTTAGCAACTTCTTCAGGGGGTTCGAAATTTATTTACTTTTATTTATTTAACATTTACAAACTAACAAAAAGTTGTATTAAACAGCAACACTAGAGGCTTCTGACCAGCTGCATTAGAGTATAAGGATTCATATTGCTCATAAACTTTAGCTGCTCCTCAAAGCCCGGTTGGGTCTTCGTGATCCAATTGCGATCCAAATAGTAATTGATATAGCTGACAAACTCTTTTTCCGTATAATTGCCAACGTGCACGGGCACAAACGGATCCAAATGCTCGAAGCCCTCTTTGCCTAGCAGATAGCGTGGCAAATAGGAATCCATATAGCCTTCAGTCATGGCTATTTTGTCCACGGATAGAATGCACACGCCATTCGTCCAGTCGTAGTTGGTTATATCAAGAAAAGGCTGGGTGAGCGTTATGCGATCCGGTGTCACGCGCTGCTTGTTATCGGAGAAGATGCGCGTGACGGGATGGAAAAATGCATTGTAGCCATCAATAGCCACCATTATCTTGCACTGGCCAGCAGTGGCTAACTGCTTCAGCTCCGAGATCAAAGCAGCTGTTGTTTCCGAGGCATACTTGATCCTCGCAATGCCGTGTTCAACTAATTCTATCAGCGAAGCGCCAGCTGGCGTGCTCTCGCGCTTGCTCCACACATACTCCTTGCTGGTCTTTAGTTGTAATCGTTCAAGCAGCTTCGAGTTCTGTGTCTTAAAGTGTATCAGCCAGGCAGCCGCATCAAATGGCAGATCGATGAAGCCCTCTTGAGTGGCGGAGTTCGCGGACTCCTTGGGCCGTTTCATCCAGTTGGGTGCCCAGGGCACGTGCACAAGCAGAAAGTCGTTCAGTGCTCCATAATGCAACACATGCGCCATGGAAAGGGTCTTCCCTACACCATTGTCGCCATACAGCACATAGCGTACCACAGGCTTCGACAGATCAGCGTTCTTGATATAATGCAGCAGCTCGAGGGCAGGAGAACGTACCATTATGCAGGCCTCGGTAAATGTTTTTATTTGCTGCTCGTATTTCTTAGTCAGTCCGCCTCCTGAGAAAATTTGCTTCTTCTCTTCCAGGGGAATGGTATAGAATTTACCTACTTGTACATCCGAGTGATCGCCAGGATTTGTTACACCTGTGCGAAACTCATTGACGGCCGGAGGTGAGGTGACGTCTTCCGCCGGCGCCGCATTTGTTGACATTTCGACGTCCCGGTAGGCGACACGCGCCGCTAACACATTGCGGGAGAGGTGTGTTGAGACTCGCGACAAGTTACCAAATTGTTTGCGAAACATTTTCATTAACAATTTAATATTAAAGTCGAATTACAGCACGATAGCGTGTATATTAAATAAGAGCTAACAATCAGCTGGCAGTTATCGATTTCGATAAGACGTGCTTGCGATAGTCATATTTCTTTCAATTGCCAGTAAGCTGTTAACGTAAGAGGTCGTTGGAGTATTTGAAATACATTCGGAGTGAACGGCAAAATTTCCACTCGGTACTCCTTGGATATTTAGGTAATTTTAGGACATTGCTTATTCATATTTTACAAAACTTACAAAAATATTAATTTAGGGACAGCACTCTTCATTATTTAATTTTAGTTTAGAGCTTGTTTATTTCTATCGGGAATCATGCAAAATAAATTGCAATTGCAATCTATGTATAAAATCAATTACATTAAAAGCCCATCATAAACTAGATAATAATTTATTTGCTGATAAGACCGAACATTTCTACGTAGGAAAAGCAGAGATTGCTTTCAATTTCCAGACATTTGATATTCACTCAAATCATGTCTCCATTGTTGCTAATGTCACCTTGCGCTTTCTACTTAATTATCTTTACAAATACAATTGTCGGATATTCATTTCAATTTGGGCAGATGCATGCAGCTGCAGTGCCCATTTATGAGGATGAGATAAGTTGGAATTGTGCCGATCGTTATATAGAATACGATGACAAGACAATAAGCGAGGTGAATAGCTTGCAATGTATTTACTATAAAATTTAAAAACAAACATCAGGCATATCCATTAAAGGGCAAGTTGAAATTTTCAATAATTCTAATTTTGGTTTTTGATGAAACCCAATTGGATGCGATTGCCATGACAGAGATCGTCCAAGGCGGCGTAGGTTGCAATCATACGACAATGAGATTGAGCTGCTCCGCACTGGGTCCAGAGTCTAGGAGTGCCAATGTAACTGTTCTCATTTATGGACTACTCATGGCATGACGGGGGCAATTTTTAAAGTTTTAGTTAGCAATAAATGAAAAACAAAAGTTTTCACATCAATAAAATATGTTAGATAATATTTCATTTAGTGTACATTTAATTACAATTCTATTATAAGAGTCTTCTAGCTTTTCTGTAAGTTAAATAATCATACTGCGATGATCTCGTTAGCGCTACTTAAGTGAGCCGAATTCGTTTTGAAAGAACAGCCATCAGTGGGCAACTTACTGGTGAGCAACGGCGACAGGAGAACCCAAAGCATGCGTTCACCAAACACAGACTTCAGATTATATGCGAGTCCACAGTTATATTTGTTGTGCTTCCCTCTATCAAAGCGTACAGTCCCTTGCAACACAAGGGGCGTATAGTAGTACAATGACACACAGCTCCCGTAGACTGCAATGAACTTAAGGCACAATAAATTCAAGACCGTCAGGTCAAGGATTGGGAAAGGACCAAGAAGCACCTCTTTGATCAGACTTATATAGCTGCGCTGCGACATATAATACAGTTGATAGATCGTGGTGTAGATCGATCCATAGAATACGTGCAGTATGAAGCACACGAAGTAACGAATATTGCAGTAGCCGACGCAACAGCCAGTTATGTTGCAGTGGTGATCGCGTTTCAGTATGCACACGTCGCACACCTTGCAGTGCCACGCCCTGGGCGGTACTAAGCCATCGCACTTGAGGCAATGCCTCCACTCCAAGCGAGCTTCGTCGCCTTCTGGCGGCACCTTGCACCGCTCAACTGAAAATGATGCACATATAGTTGGGATACAGGTTGCAGCTACAACTCACAATCAACGCTTGTGTCGATAATCAAGCAGGCGATCAAGTTGCCCAATACATTGTAGAGCAGAAACACCGCCAACCCAATGTTAAACTTGTACCAAACTGAATTCCTATCGTGCACAGCTGGCAGCAGAATAAACATATCACACGCAAATCCGAAAGTCACGAGCACAATTATACCAAAGAAACATAAATTTTCGAACCATTTTTTCGGAAGCGGATTACGGCGAAATTTCATTGTCTATGACGCAGTGTAACGTTTGATTGTTATAGGATTTTTCAATTTATGAATTTTTGAATTTCAATTTCTTTGGACTACTCGATATTTATATATATAAATATATATATCGAGTAGTCCAAAGAAATTGAGATTCAAAAATTCATAAAAATTTTCATTTAACGATTAGTCTGAAGATATGGTAATTCTAAAATTCATAAATGGAAAACTCCCATATATATATGTATATGTATATATATATATATATATATATATATATATATGCTTATGCACTTGATGACTACAAAGAGCGATAGAAATGAATAATAGATAGCTAGATAGGTAGATAGATAAATATTGATGGATTTATATATGGATAGATTGCTAGTTATAGGATTGATAAAAAAAAATGGATATATATGAGAATAGATAGATACATAAATATATAGATAGCTAGAAGGATAGATATATATAAAGAAAGATATATATATATAAAGGTAGTTAGATAGAAAGATAGATCGATAGATAGATATATAGATAGTTAGATAGTAGATAATATATCAATATCTTCTCGCTATTACATTACATTATGAGTTCCGCCTTAAGCAATAATTTAAAAGTTTTACATATAATTTTTTTTTTAATTATAAACAAAAGCTCGATAAATATTTCAGCTTTGAGTGGGCTAACTTCCGTAAGGAAACTAATTTACATTGATCTTAAATGTATATTTCTTTACAACTGTTGGCTTATGACCTAGAAGATACAATTTGTAGCCCACAATCTTATATTAAAATAGTTTTAACTTAGTTCTATGTCCATGAAAACAATAACAAAAACAATAGCAAATTTTAAACAGCGAACAGCAATTCCGTTTAACTATAATATACTTAAATTTAAGCCAGGTAATTACTAGTTTTTATATCTTAGAGCTTGACAGCATTCAGTTGTCTATGATGACATATAATACTCTGTCAATGAAGTAACTAAGTTAATGCTGGACTTAGTTCGCCAGATCCACGACTCTCAGAAAATATATCTAACTTGTTTTCTTGTCATCCGCTGAGTTCGCCTGCCAAGTGTAGCCATCATGGGGTAGCTGGCTCGCTATCAATGGAGATAGCCAGGCGATATGCATGCGTTGGCCAAAAACACTTCTCAGGTTCAAGTAGAGTCCATTATTGTATTTGTGCTGCTTTCCGCTCTCCGCGCAGACCTCGCCGCGCAGCACTATGGGCACATGATACGCCAAGATCACAACTGAATACAGCAGAGCCAAGATGTTCAGACTATAGAAGAGCAGCTGCAAATTGGTCCAGAAGCTGCCAATGACCAGCATGAACAGTGGACAGGCTACCTTCAGAGCAGTCAGCCAGTTGCAGTAGACGTCTGCATTGAGTATCCACATGAACACCGAGTTGTAGGCCAGGGCATAGACCGAGCCCACGAACAAATACATTGTGAACAGCATAAAGTAGCGATGATTCTCGTGCCCGATGCAGCAGCCCGTAAAGAGACAGTGGTGATCGCGTTTCAGTATGCACACGTCACACACCTTGCAGTGCCACGATCTGGGCGGTGCTAAGCGATCGCACTTGGCGCAATGCCGCCACTCCAAACGAGCTGCGTCGCCTTCTGGCGGTGCTTTGACCCGCTCACCTGAGAGAGAAAGTGAGAATGAGAGAGATTGAAATGGTGTGTAAATCAAATTTAAATAATACTCACGATCAACGCTCGTGTCGATCATCATGCAAGCTAACATGTTGCCCTTTATATTGAAGAGCAGAAACATCGCCATGAGAAACGTGAAAGTGTGCAGCAGTCCGCCGGGCGCGTGTATGGCCGGCAGCACAACGACTATCTCAAATATGAAAACAATGGGCAGGAATACGCCGATCACCAGGTAGCACAGTATGTCAACCAGCCGCCGGGGCAGCGGATTGCGTCTCACCCTCATTGCGGCTAAACTCACACGGAACAACTGATCAACAGCAGGTAGAACGAAGCTTCTTGCGCCGGCCTCTCCCAACCGGTTGGCGATCACGTGCAGAAGCTTTTTAGCTTTGACCGCGGAGCTTTCTTATCAAAGCGCAACAATATTCGACTTCCACAACAATTCAGATACATAACACATATATGTGAATATGTTTCACAATTACACACTTTAGAGAATTACTAGATAGCTGTCTTGCGTCATTAGTAAGCCCAAAGCAAAGTTAGTTGAACTGAAGAGCTAAAGTTATACTTGCTGCTGTTGCTTTACTTAGCCAGAGCGAATATCGATCAGAATTCTTTATCTTATCAAACTACGTTCAGTTGCATTTAGAGATATGTAGTCGTATGAATAAGTTTTGGAATATATTCTTGTTAATGTTTAACAAGTTAGCCTAGCAGATACCCTGTATACTGGGTGCAATCGCTTAGCTTTATCTATCTGCTTTATCAAATCTGCTAAGTCCAAAGACTTCAAGTCTACAAATGAATTGTAAAATTATGCAATAAGAAAAACTTGTGTAGATATGCTAGATAAAATGTTGGGAACTGCGATATATGCTCTAGTATATATGGTGGATATCGATATTTATCGATTTATTCAAAGGTGAAAAGAAAGAGGTAGACAAAGAGAAAAGGTAGAGAGGGAGATAGGAGAGCCATGAGTTAGAGTAAACAACCTTAAACAGTTATTTGAATTCATGAGAATCGCAGAGAAGGCTCTTATACAAAATGCATTGACCCATGAAACTTTTACCATAAATAAGGAGAAAAGGAAAGGCATCAGATTTAGGTCAATCACATTGCGAGTCTATACAGAGTACAAATAGCTGAGTGCCAGGCCAATTATTGGCCCATAAATATATATATATATATATACACATATATACATACATACATCATATATAGAGTAAAGCAAATCCTGCTTGAATTTTGAGTAATTAATACATAACTGTTTTGAGTGAAATGCGTACTGAATATTTTATTAGCGGCTTAAGCGAGTGTAACTGAAGCCGCAAACCAATCAAGGGAATTGCCTCAATCAATAAAAGGCTTTAATTATTATTCATGGAATACCTTTAAGTAATTACTTGGCTTAATCGCTCAATGTCTGCCGAGTGGCTATAAGTAGCTGATAACTTTAGACAGACGCCCACACTGGACGCCATGGAGGCCAAGCCGAAGAGTCAAAAAAGTTTCGTCTTCTTACAGAATAGTTTTCAGAAAAGTTTGAAAGTGTTTTTGAGGGAAACCGGCCTGCATGGCCTCAAGTTTGTGGGCGACTCAACGCTCAACATCTGGGAGCGGTAAGAGCCGATGCAGAGCTCAAATCTCTCAAATTAGCTCTAGGCAAATTTCAGATCCTTCTTCCTGATAGCCTTTGTGGCCGCATTCGTCATGACCTGCCAGCTGATATCGAACATTTATGCCAAGTGGGATAGCACACCAGTTATCATTGGAATCAGTCCGCATGCCACGTCCATACGCAAGGTGCCCTTTCCATCTGTAACCATATGCAACATGAATCAGTTTCAACGCAGTAAAGTCATAAAGTACAAAGAGTAAGTGAATTCCATATATAACTTGGGTGTCTGGCTGATCAGTGACTGCAACAGGGGTTCGGCTGAGTTCGATGCCATGAAAGTGCTTTGCAATCCCCACTCGGAGGAGATCGAAAGAGGTATTGAGGCGGACAGCCCCTCATGGACCTCGACTATCAACGCCAGCAACACCCTCAAGATAACCGACTTTGTCAAGAACCACGCCCAGCCCTGCAGCCAAATGCTGCGATACTGCAGATTCAGTGGAAGGGAAGTCAACTGCCACGAAATATTTCGCAGCATAATCACAGATGAGGGCTTGTGTTGCGTCTTTAATATTCTGCCTGCACCATTTCTATATAAATCACGGTAAGAGCAACCTGCAGCTTACTACGAAGTTGAGCCCTAATCTTAGCTGTATCCTAGTGAAAATGAGAGCATAAGCAATTTTACAGCGCTTGGATATACACCTGTGAGATGGGATCCCGAATCGGGATATCCCGCGCAGCTGCCCAACCTGTTCTATCCACTGCCGGCATTCGGTAAATGATAAGAGAAATCTCTATAAGAATTGTCTTTAAGTTGACTTGTGTTTCTAGGCACAGGCATCACAATGGGCTTTACTGTGGTTCTAGATGCGCAGCTGAGCGAATATTACTGTTCGTCCACGAATGGACCTGGCTTTAAGGTTTGTATGCATAGAAAATAGTATGAGTGGAAAAAGGAAACATAGTCTATAGAGACACATATAATTGAGTTCAATTTCTGCACAATTTTCAGATTCTCTTTCACAATCCCATAACGCTGCCCAATGTCAAGGAGGAGGGCCTCGTGCTGGGCATTGGCTATGAGACGAACTTTCGGCTCGCGGTCAGCAGGTCGGAGGCGGTGCCAACAATTCGTGGCATATCCCGCGACGACCGTCAGTGCGTGTTCAACAATGAGAAGAAGCTGATCTACCACAAGGTCTATACGCACAACTACTGTGAAAACGAATGCATTGCCAAATACCTGTACACGGCTTGCAACTGTATTCCCCACAGCTATCCGCATATCTATCAGAATGCGAGTGTTTGCAGCGTTAGGGATGCGGTCTGCATTCGCAGGGCCCAGCGGCCGGAGAACAGGCAACAGACGGCCAACTGCCGCCAGGACTGTCTGCCCAGCTGCTTCGACCTGAGCTATGCAGCCGACTCGCTGTATTTCCCCCTGGCCAAACGGGACTTCCAGGTATCCAATAAGCTCGTGGCCAATATGAACAAAACCTATCTGCTGGAGAACATTGCCGTCATGAATTTATACTATCGCGAGTCGGCCTACTACGGCACCATGAAAAACGTCTACATCGGCTTCACAGAGTTCTTGTGTGAGTAGGAAGGAGCCTTCCTCGCGCTAGTCATTAACACTAGGATTTATACTTCTTTGCAGCCAACATTGGCGGCGTCATGGGCCTCTTCATGGGCTTCAGCGTTATCTCAATAGCTGAAATGCTTTACTTTCTCATACTAAAGCCCATCTCAGAGCTTATAGCCTGGAAACGAGGCAACGAAAAACTACACGACCTTAAGACGACTCCAACAAGACATCCATTCAAGCAAAATAATTCAGTGTGGCATACAAAGGAGTTGTATCCCAAGGGCATGTCATCCAGCAAAATGCAGCCACGCAGCAAGGAAAAAGTACGTTTAGTCAAAGATAGATACAAATACTAGGTCTGGTCCTTGTGACACTCTTGACTTGAAGTTGAAGCATTTACTAACCTTAGATATCATGCTGGTCAAGTGGATACTACTGCTGCCTCTGCCAGCCTGCAGTAGCTGCCCCTTTTGATAGTGTCATAAATGTTATATATAAAGTAGTCGCAACATTTGCTTGGTCATCGACCTATTTAATATTAAATGAGGCACAACAATTACATTTTAAGTTGGGACCCCAAAGACTCGCATATCATGCAAAGGGTCTGGGCCAGAAAAACAAGTTAATGCTAGACAATTACTTGTAATGGAATCGAGTTAGTTAAATATGCAAATATTAATTATGTGTAGCTCGTACAAATTGCAGTTTCCTTCAGTGTCTCACAGTACACATACGAATACTTAAAGCACGCACTGTACTTGAAGCAATGTTCGGGCATTGCTTTAATTTGTGGTCGAGGAACTAAGTAAAACTAAGTCACTTGGTAAATTATGTGTTTGGCAGCAGATGCTCGCAACGAATGCCGTTTGTAATTAAGAGTTCCCTTATTAGAAAGAATAGGAAGTCTTTTGGCTGGTTGCTGCTCGCCCTGTGGCTATTATTATTTTATTATATTTTATGCCAATATAAGCGCATTTTGCGTAATTGCTTTTACTGGAACTGGAACTGGAACTGGAACTGGGCACAGTGTCTGCCAACTGTATGTGGCTGCTGCGTTGCCCTTGGAGTTGTCTTGCCTTGTCGTGCCTGTCCTGTGCTGTGCAACACTCGAGAGCAGAAGCATTCTTATGGCTTACCATTCTGCCAACAGCACTCTGTCAGAGTCGAGAAACTGGGCTAACTCTTGAGAACGCCCGAGAAGACCTGGCATACTTATTCCTCAACGGTAATTGCTGACCTACACACAAAGTGACTAATTTTGTTCAGACAAACATAAATGCATACAGAAATATACTCAACTTGAGGGCTGCCCAACGAGTCCTGCAAGATTGAGGGAAACTTATAAAGTGACCAAGCAAGTGTGATACTATTTTCAATCATTTACTCTCAGCAACTATTCAAGTTACTGATAAGATCAAGGCGCTGAAATATTTAATATGATTTGCCATTTAACTATAAATTATATTAAGCTTATTATAATCATGCAACAACACTTTTGTAGCACTGCAACTAGATACCAATTGCAAATACGAAGAATTTTATATTTAAGACAAAGCTAGCTATAAATCTTTATATAACAGAGCCAACTGCTAGCTCCCACGCTTCATTTATAATAATAAACATGTTGGCAAAGTCTTTGAGCCACCCTCGCAGCTGCCTGATTTGTGTCTCTGTGAATTTCAGCAAACAACTGAATGCGGTGTGAGGGCTAGGCGTGGCTCAGCCCACTTTCATAATTCCAGCCAGCAGCTGCCTGTGGTGCAGTGCGTGCTGATAAGTGGGCGGCTAAGCGAAAAGGGGCGGGGCTGGATTGTGCTAAAGGAATGAAATGCATTCTTGCATTTCAAGACAATTTACGAAATTGCAGCGCTTGATGCCTCCACGTGCAATGCATCTGGTTTTTTTTTTGGTTTTTGTTTTTGTTTTTTTTTTTTTTTGCTCCGTGTTTTTATGGCAAGTCAACAATGTGGCCAAAAACAAGACCAAAAACTAAAACTGAAACAGAAACCAGGACAAGCTGGGTTAGAGGCGAGGCAGAAGGAGGCGGGCGAGTGGGGGAGTGGTTGAATGGGTGAGTGGTTTAGCTAAAGTAAAACCAAGGCAGCTCTACGATAAGACAACTGGTGCAAATGATTACGACGTGTTCATGGAATTCTATACAAGCAACAGCACAGCTCCATAAATGTCAGAAACAAAACTGAATTCAATTCTTTATGGTGCTGTTAGTGAGCCAATGGCAGTTTCTTCTGCTTTAACGAGTCCTTGCTGAGAGCGAGAGAGAGCTTTGGTCCTTCAATGAAAAATTATGCTATTGCATTTGTGGGAAAGTGCAAACTGAAACGGAAATGGAAAGAGAAGCTGAACTCCAGCTACAGCAGATTGGGCCAGGAATGAAGCTGAAGCATTTATTTAATATGCCATTTCGTATGAATGGGCGCACAACAATATAATTTGCAAGTTTGCTGTGTGTGTGTGTGGGGGGGGGGGGGGGGGGGGGGAGGAATGCACATGAGTTCGAGTAATTAACATCAAATTTTGCGGCAAAGTTATCAAGTTGACTGTGAAGTTTTGTCTGGCTGTGGGCCGGGTTTGATTAAGATATAAATAATTTATGCTAGCTTGTTATGCTGCATATCCTACGGCATGCCACTGGGCCGTGTGCTGAGCACACCTTGACAGCCCTCAGCATTGTCAACTTTATGACATTCTCGTCGAGCCAGTGTGCGGCTTTATGGCAACGTTATGCACAAAGTCCCAAAGTTGTTGTGCAGCTGGGAGAATGTCTTCTTCGTTAATGCGAGCATTGCACAACATTCCAGGGCACGTGTCTGCCCCTAATGGAATGGGCAGACTAATACGAATGGAGTGGGAGGCGCTTCTACTTATATGTGGGTGCTGCATATGCCCATAAGTTGCATGCGGAAAAGCAATTAAAACTTCTTGAGAGCTTCGGAAATGTTCGTTCATATTTTATGATGTGTTTTCCTCAATAACGATAGTGCAAAGGCACTAACACATACAAATACGCACCTATACACATGCACTCACACACACAGCGAACTAAGCAATTTTAAGTGCAATCTGCCAAGATAAGCTGCCATACATATCCAGATTTACTATGTATATCTATTTACTACAACTATGTATATACAGATATACTGTCACAAGTATACTTGTATTTCTAGCAATAGTATTAAATATATATGAGTATAGTCTATATAGCTAGACGAGGTGAAGTATATAAGGAACACCCCTAACACTCGAAGTTGTCCAGCTATTTTTGATAGACCCCAAATTTGACTGTTGCTTAAATATAGCACAGATTTGCTATGAACAGTTCTTGAGTCTTTTTATTATAACATGTATGTTTAATAAATAAAATTATAAATTAACAACTAAGACTAATATAGTTAAATAATCTACTCAATCCCCCGACGAGCGGCTTTCTTACAATGATAATTATATGACAAGCAAACACAGCCAAGAAGAGGAGGAGAACTGCACTGCACTGAGATCTAAAAAGCGACTGCAGCCGCAGACTCGCTCTGAGTTTGTTTTTACACTCGATCATTGAGAGACAAATAACTTAGAGTACTTTCTGCTGTCAGAGCCAGCTCCAACTCTGAAGGCTCTTTCTCCTTAATATAATTGCCAAAATACTGCTGCATAATCTCCTATTACTCTCCATCAGCTATTTCTCTGCCGCTCCGATGTTCGATGTTCGATCAGACTTATAGTTAGACAGCCAGACGTCATTATAATTATACATCATTATATACATTATTCTTACTAATATCATTAATGCTATGACAATTGTTATAATTTAAATGATCATTACGCGTGATTACATTACTGCCTTACTCACGCTAATGATCATAATCTAAATAACTAATATTCTAGTGACAATTGTCTTAAAGATTATTCGCATAATGATCATAAACACAAAGATCATTATGCAAATATTACAATTGTTCTTATAATTATGATTAAAACAATTTCTTAAAATAATGCTTATAACTATTACAATTCAGCTTAAAATACTTAATATTATTAACTATTTAAGAATATTTACCAGACACAGCCGAAGAAGAGGAGGAGGAGGAGCACTGCACTGTACGACCGACTAGCACTGAAACGCGACTGCAGCTGCAGCCGGTCTGCCTGCCTTTATATAGGGCCACGTCGACTCAAAAGTCGAGCTCAACTCTGGAGCTCCGCTCTGAGTTTGAGTTTCCACTCGATCGCTGAGTGACAAATTACTTAGAGTACTTTCTGCTGTCTCAAGCGTTTGAGTCTTTTTCTCTGTAATATAAATGACAAAATATTGCTGCATAGACTCTTCTTCAGCTCTTACTCTTCTGCATCGATATTATATGTATGATCTGAAGTGCTCATCATGCTTTTCAAGTATATATTTATATATATACTTCTCATGTAATATGTAATAATAATATTTTGTAAATATATACGACCTTCGCTCATGCAAGTACCAAAGCCGATTTACAAATCAGTCTGGCATAGGAACTAAAGCACATATATATATATATTTTTTTTATACGCCTTTTACTTACTAATTAAACAAGCTATTAAAAAAATGACATTATGTCAAGTTTTTTACTTTTTCCTAAGTACATTTGATATGATACGACTTTCACTTAATTACGCCTCCCTTTCGTCCTCAAATTATAAGTCTTCTCCACACTTAAATATTTCCTTTACCATTATCCATAAACGCTATTCAAACACTTATTCTCTGCACTCTACTGCAACTACCTTTACGTCTTCATTGCGTTTCAATTGCTGATATATTTTTAAAGCGATTCGTTTTTGAGGGATTTTTAGCATTTTCGTCTGTGCAGCTTCTTTTTTGTTAAGTGAATAAACTTGTTTTGCACAAAAGATGTTGATCACGGCATTGAATTTAATGGCAACCACTTAGGGCGCAATATTCGCCTGCCAAATGCTCGTATCTAGCGTTTGGCTAATGGAACCTCCGAGCGAGCGCTTGCCGTTCGCCGTTCACCGTTCGCCGTTTGCCCTCCATCACGCCCATAAAATGGCTGACAGTAATAACAAGTCGCCCAAAAGCAAATGTCAGCGCCCGACTGCCACCCACCTGTAATATTTTTGCAGGTAAGCCAAAAAGGGTCCGAAGAATGCGTCCCACAAACGCCCGCGGCAGCTCCCGCAAATTCGTTGCAAATATGGAAATTTGTCGCCCCCTCTGCACCGCCTAATGCAGCAAAATGCATTTGGAATTGGGTAATTTTACACATGCAAACAGCGCCGCGGGCGACGCGTCATTTGGCCACGGTTAGAAATGTATTTCGGTTTCAGCTGGACAGATAATATATAC